AATGAAGTACATAATGTTGTCATTTCTTTGCAAGGAGCTTCTTTGGAATCTTTTCAATCGGGGTAGTTTTTAGCATGAAAAGCCTCGCAGCTTGCTCCTGCAGAGTACCCCCGCATTTTAACCCACGAGTTTGCAGTTCAGACTTTAACCTTTCCCGGCCAAGAACCTACAATAGAAAGGTGGAAAGTCATGTTAATGCGGCTTACTAACGATTTGAAGTGAGAGCCCTCCCCAACTAAAATGACCCTGGTGGGCGAGATGAAGGTGAAAGGTGTGAGACAAAAGCAATGGGGCAGTGACGTAATAATTAATATGGGCATTAATTTAGCTTTCAACGTGGACATGCCTAGTCATGTTCACGAGGCGGACTATATTATACATAATCAACAAACAGGGGAAAGCGAAAATTTCTGCTTCAAGAACTTAGTGCGAGGAAGTTGCCCCTAATAGATTTAATTACAACGCCCTAAAACATTTAATTGGAAGAGTAATGGAAGCTGCAAAAACCCTAAATCGCTTTAGCAGTAACAGACATTTTAATAAAAAGATTATTAATATGATTAAAAACTTAGAAGCATACCTCCATTTCAGCCGCTGAACTGTACTCATCAAAATTCAGTGGCTTCTCTATCTCTAGAGTGTTTCCACTCGCAACTGTTTCCTCCTGAACTCCTGAATTGGACTCTGAAGAACCATTGGCTTCAGCAACAACTGATGCACTTTCAATTTCTTGCCCATGCCCTGAACTAGGAACCTTCTGGGATTGACCAACTACTTTTTTCAGATTTCCCATCTCAAGTCCACTGCAACCTATCTTTCCATCTTGATCTGCTTCAACTCCTGAAACTGTATCAGGCTCTGAACAAGTAACACTTGCACTACAAACCATCTTCTCTTCAGGAATCACTGGTTCAACCGTCTCATTCTTCTCGTTATCAAGAGATTCCTGACCAGGGCCTCCACCAAAAGGTTGTGCTCCCTGCACAACCATCTCTTTCTCTTCCTCCGAGCCACTCTCACTTGAGCCCCCACCTGAGATCTCACCATCTTGTTTCCTACCAGTCACAGAATCCAAACTTCTCTCAGTTTCTTTACTTGAATCTGAGTTATTCCCATTATTTAATACAATGGATTTCTCATTTTTATCTTCATTATCACTGTCGTCATCCTCTGAATCACTTTCGCCCATTTTCCTCTTGCCCATCCTGACAAAAACAACAAATCAGCCATCAAGACCAATGACAATCATCTTATACAAAAATATTAAAGAGAAATGGCAGGACGATACAGTGTTTCTGCAAAAACTTTCTGAAATAAAAAAATGTAGCATTTCCGAAACAAGGTTGCACCAGAAATCAAGATTATAAAATGAAAAAAAAAAAGAAAAGACATTGCTCTAAGCAACCTTCTGGCTAAACCCTTGCCTATCCTAAATGAACTTAATGGGTTCCATTCCTTCACTCTATCATCCCGATTGACCCCCGTAAATCGAAAGCAAACTGAGAAAGCAAAGAACTTGGCTTTGTTAACCAAATTATTTATATCGTGTGAGTTTTCGACTTCAATTATCATACTAACCTCTATAACTAATATTCATTTCAACTCATAAAAATAATACAATTTATCTCAAACCACCATATCACTTCCCCATTGCATTACTTTATTTCATTCTCCTAAAAGCCTTCCTCGAAATTCATAATTTCCATTTTCCAAGCACAAAATCAACATAGCAAACATAAATAAACAAAACCCATTAAAACCCAACACAAATCCTTACCAAATTTTCAGTCTTTTCGAATCTGCCACCGGTTCCTTGGCCGCCCCCTTACGCTTTCCCTTAACAGCCTCCTTAACCGAATCCAAAACCTCCGCAACACAGCGTTCCGATTGCTCCCTATACTTGGCCACATACTTCTCAGCCTTATCGTCCCCAGTCCCCACTTTCCCCTTCTTTGCAATACGCTTCAAATAATCCTCCGCCATCTTTTCGAGCATCCTCTCTTCTTCCTCATCCCTCCACTCCTCAAGCTTCTTCTCCGCATTAACATGCCGCAGCCTCCGACCACTCATATCGCGACACGCGTCGAAATTACTCGTCTTCTTCTGCCCGGCCTTCGTCGCCGCCCCACGCAGCAGCGATCCGAACCCGCCCTTTCCACCAACGAGCCGGAGCAGAAGATGCACCGTTGGGAAGTCCGGCGCGTCGGAGGAGGAGCACGAGATGACGGAATCATCCTGGAGTTGGCGAGTCCCGGTGACGAGGCGCTGGTGCTGGAGGGGTATTTTGGTGATTTTGTATAAGAGTTGCTTGATGGAAGCGGCGGGGATCTCCGGGGTTGTGAATTTTAGGGTTAGGGTTTTGCCCTCCAAAAGGTTGACGAATAAGTTGTAGGTGCTGGATTTGGTGACGGTGGATTCCGCCATTGATGCAAATTGAGGGGAGAAGTTAGGGTTTCGAAGGACGAAAGATTAGTGGCGATCGAGTCGTAGGAGAAAAGGGAAGGGTGGCTTGGTCTGGGGATTAGATATTTATGCGGTTCGCGAGTTTCCGTGTTCACCAATAACCAATCCGGGATCGCATCCCGGGTCGGGTCTTTATTTCCTCTTCGGGTAAGATAATTTGTTACTTTCGAAAAACTAATTTTAAAAAATAAAATAAATTTATTCAAGAAGAAAAACTTCGAGAACAACTGCTTCTAGTACAATGGAAGTGACGAACATTTCTAGCAATAATAAATCAAGATGTATCCCGAATAGAAGTATTATGAATAGCATAACTAATAATAAGGACATAAGCAATCAAATTCACAACTCCGAAATACATAAGCCCAAAATATAGAAGAAAAATGAAAGACCAAAGTCAAATTTAATACTTTGGGGGTGCGTTTGTTGCATCAAACTGTCTCGGACTGGACTAGCTTCAGAGACTAAATTGGACTAGCTTAACTAGACTAAGCTGAATTAGCTTAGTGAAGTATTTGTAGCAGTGTCGGACTAATAAGCAGGATAATGAAAACAGTATTGTCACCAGTTTAGTGTTTGCTCATACGAAGACTACATTATTGTTTTATATTAATTATTTTTATTAAATTAATAATATTGGATGAGAGTGAGACTTAATAAAAATACAAGCTCAAAATTCAAATTAACATAGAAATTGGAATTGAAGATTCCTTTTTTTTTTTTTTTTTTTTTGTCTGGAATTTAGAAATTAATAAGATGCAGGTGATACTAAATGCAATCAAATACATCAAGACCAGCAAGTTCAACCAATTATTTAATCCAAAATCTCTAAACACAAAATTAATTGAGCACACACCATGAACAACAACATAAAACACATGAATTATTTCCACTTGAAAGATTCTTACACTATATAAAAACCCAAAAATCAAAAGCTTCAAATAAGAAAAGATTTTACATTCACTTCCTCAAGCTCTGAATTGATGAAAACACAGAAACCCACCAGACTACCACAGCCAACCGATGATCGCAAAAAAAGAAGAAGCATAAAACTCTCATTTTTCCTCTGCTACTTCAAGAATTTGCAGACAAAAAGAACATAACAATTCAATTCCTCCTTCTTCAAAGTTTACAACTTTGAATTTGTTTCAAATAAAAAAAAAAAAAAAACGCGGAAGAGGTGGAAGAGATAACCTTGAGTCGCTGCTTGTGAGAGGAAGAGAGGCTAGACTGGAGATAGCGAGAAGCTTGTCATTGCCGTGGGTCAATCCCCCTAAAACCCCTTCATCGCCCCTACAGAACTACGAGATCGTTTTGCTAAGGACGTTGTCGATCTGCTACAGCGGCGGTTGATGTATGAAGGATGAGATCAATTCGTTTGATAGCCAAAAGGAAAGGATGAGATTGACGAAAGCCCGCTCTTGGATTTATGAGGATTTTAATACTTTATTTTAAAATTCTAATTGAATACAGGTTGAATTTCAGAGAATCATTTAAAATCCTAATTAAATACTTTTAAATTCTTTAATAGAATTAAAATTCCTCAAAATCTCAATTAAATACACCTTGTAACATACCATCGAGTTTTCAAAAGAAAATGAAAGAAAAAAAATAAAGTCAATTGGCTTTATTATATTAACACCCCATAAATGGTTAAATAAACCCCACATACTTAATATACGCCACATTTACTTTTTCAATTAAATATTATCTTTATACATCTCACATACCTCTCCATAATGCCCTCACACCCTACATTCTCAAAACACACATAATATTTCTTTATACACCCCAATTTCTTCAAATTTTATAATACTTATTCTTAATTTTGATGGATTGAATCTAGATACCCTGCTGTTCCCAGGCTAATTACTTATGTGACTGACTTGTTTTTCGTTTCCAGCTTGATAGCATTATCATTAACCGTTTTGGACGCTAACACTTATCTTAAATTTTTTTTATCTTTGTGTAGATTGGAAAATCTTATGTCACTTCCAAACTCAAGAATTATCCAAACTCAAGATCTTATGTAACTTTTCTATAACCAATAAAAAATAAAAAATAATTATCGAAAGTTTCAAGCTGTTGGTATTGCAATTCAGAGCTGGTTAAAGGCACAAGTTCTGAAGTTTTTTGAGATAGTAAATGCCGGGATGCGGTATCATGTGTGGTTGGAGAGAAAATAATTTCTTGCAGTCACAGTGACCAATAGCATTGGCATATTCACAGACATTTTGTTAGAGTTTTATTAATCAATGTGTTTGTAGTTTCATTAGATAAGATTTTGTTCAACAATGTAAGGTATGAGAGTTTTGATAATTGAAAAAGATAAATAATACGTTAAAAGTGATGTGAGATATATTTGATTTTTTTTTATTTTTTTAAAACTTAATAAAATCGAAATTACCATTGTTGAATATTAAATTTTCTGTGGCGGAGTGCCAATAGAAAATGCCAAGTCAATTTAGTTGAAAATTTATTTAAAATGAGTAATTTTTGTAAAGAAACATTTTCGTATAAAAAAAGGATCAAAATCACAAATAAACAAACAAACCGGACCGCGACTGTCATGATCTCTCTTCAGCCAAGAAACAAAGAGAAATAAACTTTGTCTCCTCTCATACGAATCCAAGAGCCTTCCACTCCCAGAAGGATTTGATGGGCGAAAGGGGTCGGAGCTTCCAGGTGGATCCGAACGTCCCCAGATATGTCTGCCAGAACTGCCGCAACTCTCTCTGCGTCATCGGCGCCGATTCCTACGCCGAAAAGTTCTTCCACGATTTCTCTCGCTCCGGTTCGTTTTCTTTAATCCTTGTATTAGTTTTGCTTAATCCGTATTATGTGTGCATGTAATCGCGCAAATTCGTGTTCTGCGAATCGGATTATAGAATCCCAATTAGTCTCTGGGGGCTTTCAATTGAAGTTTCACATGGGTGAGATTGCGAAATGGTTTTCATGGATGGGCAAATTTATATTTAAAATGGGTTGGGTTTTGATTTAGTAAAGCTAAAGTGTTGTTCTTTTTGAACTTTTTTAATTTCAATTGCTGCCCGAAAACTTCAATTATGCTGGTTTAGGCGTTAAATTTTGCCATGGAGTGTTAATTTGTTGAGCAAATAGTTTGAGGTAGATATGGGACTTGTTGCTGGGCGTCCCTTGTTGTGAAGAGCTAAGTTGGAACTCTTTCTTTGTGGAACCTTTACTAGAATGAGAGCCGGGTTGGCGTAATCGATCGACATAAGCATATAATCACTAGAATCGCATGGTGCTTACTAAAATATAAGATTTCCTGAGTTGTATTTTTTTTGCACATTTGAGTTTGTGATTTTGCGTGGAGTTAAGGGGTTTTGATAGCCTGGTGCAGTGTTACAACAACAACAAAGCCTTTTCCCACTAAGTGGGGTCGGCTGTATGAATCCTAGAAGGCCCGGTGCAGTGTTGTGTGCTGGAAATGGTTCATTGTTTTGTAATCAGTGAGCGTTTGGTGATGAACACATGCAGGTATGCAGGGCTCTTCAATGCATGGGGCGAACAGTGTGTTATCATCAATGCGGATGGACAATTCTTTTGTTTTGTTACCACAGCAAAGAGCCCAGGCACAAGGAGTCCCTCCACGTCCCCGTGGTGGAGCAGTCAATGCAGGCCAGTCTGGAAATGCAATGGATGAGTCCTTTGTGGTTGTTAATAAGTCTGAGTCCTCAGCAGATGGTGGTGGGGCTCATTTGCCATCACCTGATGGAGGACCCAATGGTCCTTTGCAGCCTAACAATTCTGGCTTTCACTCTACTATAACTCTCCTGAAACGGGCATTTGAAATTGCAAGCACCCAAACGCAGGTATGCATCAGAATGCAAAAGAACTTAACGTCTTATGGTATGTTGGTGCTGGTTATTGTTTTTTAAGTAGGTTATAATCTGTAGGCTTCTGCTAACATTTCCAGGTTGAGCAACCTTTATGCGTTGAATGCATGAGGGTTTTGTCTGATAAACTTGACAAGGAGGTTGAAGATGTGAATAGGGACATTAAAGCATATGAAGCCTGTCTTAAACGCTTGGAGGGTGAGACAAGGGAAGTGCTTAGTGAGACTGATTTTCTCAAGGAAAAACTAAAGGTGCCTATTTCAAATATTGTCTAATGCAATAATATCTCTGTGATCTGTCTATGGATAGTGAAAAAAAGGTTGTTTTATTGCCATTATGCCTTCATTCCGAGGAATGTCGCAAATGACAACTCCAAGCGTCACACATCAATTGCCTACCTCCATTTAGGTGGCACTTTTAGAGATTGTGTGGCCAGTAGGATGCATTTGTCTGCATTAATATAAATACATTTGAGCTCTCATCCTGCATTCAAGTGTTATGTTCTTTTTCTTTGTTCTGTTGGTCATAACTGAACCTCTTATCCTTATTGATTACCCTTTTTTGTAGGAAGTATTCCATGACATGCAGAATAGTTTAAAAATTGTTTAGTTTAATCACTCTGATTTCTTTGGTTTGGATGAGTGGGGAAAGGTGGTTATAGCTTGCTGATAGGATATTTACTTTGCTGTTTAGAGCATGCAGTTTGATCCAAAAATGGCACAAATATATAGGACTAGCCTATAAGCTGGAACAATCTTAGGCTTGCTATGGTTTATATTAATTGGAACCTACATATTTGTGAAGGTTTATTTTTTAAATTTGAGGCCAGGATATTAGCTTGCCTAGAATCCTGCAGCAATTGACCAAGATCAAAACTTCTTTTATATATATATAAAACCCCTTCAAAAATATGTTTGGTTTCATATCAGCTTATTTTGTATCGTAATTTTCCAAAGTGAAGTCTAATGCTCACTGATCATCTTTGTATGCTATTTAAGATTGAGGAAGAAGAAAGAAAACTTGAAGCGGCAATTGAAGAGATGGAAAAACAGAATGCAGAAGTAAATAATGAACTGAAGGAACTTGAGTTGAAATCTAGCAGATTTAAGGAGTTGGAGGAGCGGTAAATTTCTTTTCCTCATGCTGTTTGTTGAATTTGTGGGTATACTTCCTGATAAAATATTAAGTGTGCATCAGTGCGTATCAGATTTCATCTCTTATACTCACCTTCTATATGTAAACCTGGGAAATGCTAATTGTTGATTCTTAACATGTGCCAGGTACTGGCACGAGTTCAATAATTTTCAGTTTCAATTGATTTCAAATCAGGTGTGCGACTTCTTCTCAATTACTTTCTTTGCAACTCCAGCTTTTGCATTACAAGCTTCTAGGAAGTACATTTGCTCTGTATGGCTGACTTTGGGTGGATATGTCTGGCTGTTGTTTGTCTTCAACTCTTCGTAATGTAGTTTATGTTAATTCTATATAGGTTCGTCTCGTTACCATTAGTTCTTGTCTTATAAAAGAAAAGAGTTGCATACATAGTGCACATGTGTTCTGCTTGATTTCTAACTTGTGAATGGATATGTTCATTGGAGTAAAACAATCATGCTTTGGAATCATTTAAATTTACTGTGGTGAACCCCTAGTCGGATATATCCTTTATGAGTCATCTGTTTCCCCATTTCATAAGAATTGATGATACCTCATTTCATAATTTACTTGGAATAAAGTGTAAGCCGGTTGGAAGAAAACAATGTTTCCTTGGTGCCCTGTGGGTATATTGTCGTTTGTGTCTATGAAATTTATTTTTGGTTAACAGGAAGAAAGAGATGCAATTTTGGCCAAGATAGAAGTTTCGCAAGCACACTTGGAGTTGTTGAAACGAACTAATGTGCTCAATGATGCCTTTCCTATCTGGCATGATGGAGAATTTGGTACCATTAACAATTTTCGACTTGGACGACTTCCTAAAATTCCGGTTAGGAAGCCAAGCATGCATTTCCTTCTCTTTTGAGTTTGTCTTACGACCAGTTAATTGAATTTTCACTTCCACCCTTGAGACAGAAAATAGGCTCTGATATTGATGTTTACCATGGTGTGAAAATAACTAGGTTGAGTGGGATGAGATAAATGCTGCCTGGGGTCAAGCTTGCCTTCTTCTCCATACAATGTGTCAATATTTCCGGCCAAAGTTTCAGTATCGAATAAAAATACTTCCTATGGGCAGCTACCCTCGGATTATGGACAACAATAACAATACTTATGAGCTGTAAGTATAGATTATGCCTATAAAAATTTCACTATTTTATTGTCTTTTTATGTTAAGGAACTGTTATTAGCACTCCAAAAAGTCATCCTGCATTCCAAAACAAATAAAAATATAAGGTAGAAAAATTCTTCGAGGTTGACTCTTTTTTGGGGAGCTACCTCATTGTAATTTCATCTAATCTCACTATTGTAGTAAACAAACTTAGTAGATTCCCCCGGTTTAGCAGTATGTGGTGCATAAAGTGGAGATTTCAATTTACTATTTAATTGGAATCTCCCAAATGTCGAGTGGCTTGGTTAGATGATTATAAATGTATAACCAATTTTTGTATCTGTTTCTAATGTACAATTATAGATGTCTAGTGTGGGGAAGAATCTCTGGAAGTACCTGTGTACTGAAATTTAGACTCTATCAAGTTTACGCTCACCATTTTGTTGGATGTTTTGTTTAACTCGAGTATTTATTAGGTTTGGTCCGGTGAACTTGTTCTGGAGCACTCGATATGACAAAGCAATGACATTGTTCTTGACATGCCTCAAGGACTTTGCTGAATTTGCGAATTCCAAGGACCAAGAAAACAACATACCACCTGAAAAACGCTTTAAATTGCCCTACAAGTAAGTTATGCAATATGTATCGATAGTATGTTATATCATGTACAAGCTTTTTTCGCCTCTCCTTCATAAATGATGCAATATTTGCATCTATGACCATAACTTTATCTTGTTTACCCCTTCAACCATTTTAAAGCATATGACGTCTACAACACCGGCTTAAGTTCTAAATGGTCTGACGAGTTTTTCATCTGCATTGTTATCCACATACTTAATACTGTGTATAATTATTCTTTTCTATTAGGAAAGAGGATAGACTTCGGTCGTGATTCCATTATCCGTCTTGGACTTATTGATGTGCAGGATTGAGAATGACAAAGTGGAAACCTATTCGATCACTCAAAGCTTCAATAAGCAGGAGAATTGGACCAAAGCTCTCAAATACACCCTCTGCAATTTGAAATGGGCTCTGTATTGGTTTGTTGGGAACACAAACTTCCAGCCTCTTTCCGCAGTAGTGTCGTCTTCACATGCTGAAGTCTCAGGTGTAGGCTCTTTGTACTCGAGACGCAGTACCGACTCCAAGTCTGAGTTCCAAAACTCATCGCATCCATGACATAGATGTCGAATACACATCATACACCGACATGTATATAGAAACACCATAGTTTAGTCTTGTGCAGTTAAAAGCATAATTTTTAGCGTATTGTAATACTCTATTGAAGCATTCATAGTACCAGAGCAAAGGATTGCTGTTTTTTTTTTCTTTTCTTCCCCTGCAATACTTGTTGAATTTCAGATTCTTAAAAAGGAAAAAAAGCTTATGAAACTTATTTTAATAAACGGATACCCATAGTCGTACCCACCAAATTTATATAGGCGGATGATCGCGACTATTTTTCCCATCTCTTTAAATCATTAAGACAGGGACACAGGAGTTGTATAAAAGTATCATTTTGTCTCAACAAGCATATGGAATGCATGGCATCAATTTGCGAACGCACGAGAAGGGACGTTTCCTCAATTTTTGCTGATTCCTTGCATGGCTATTTAACATGACAAGTCTTTGCATAACCACAGTAATACGTTCTCCTAAATTGCATCGAAGTTTGGATTTAATATCTCACACATGAGCGTAACCAAGCTGGTTAGAATAATGTACTTTTTTATTTTTTTGCATCGAAGTTTGAATTGAATATTACTTGAATGAAAATGAAGCATGCAAAGTCCCTATTTTAGTTGTTATGGAATTAAAACTGTAAGAATGTGAGGGCAAAGTCTCACATCAGTGAGGGACCAAACAATGGACATTCGTGAGGTACCAAACCATGCAAGGGATTATAAGAAGTTGGGTTTCTCCACGTATTACCAATTGGTTTTATAATAGAACCTCAACTTTCTACCTCATATTAGAGTAGGTTGGCCCACATGCGAAACCCAATTGACACACGTGCTCCACGTCACCCCGTTGGTGTTGTTCACGTGTCATGCTTGAAAATTTGTCACACGTGAGGGGGGTGTGAGAATGTGAGAACAATTTTCACATCGGTGAGGGATCAAATCATACAAGAACTTTCAGAGATTGGACAACTTTCCATATTACCAATTGGTTTTACAGTGGAATCTCAACTATCTTCAAAAATCATCACTGACATGAATCTTGCATGATCATAAAAACAGCTGAAGAACTTGAAAACAGCAAAAACTCACACGCAAGCTTGCACGTATAAATAGAATACCTTGGTGTGTTGCAAAGACAGCTCTCAGCTACAATTAAAACTAGAGAACTAGCTAAGCGATCATCTTAAGCGTTAGCAGCAGCCATGTCTCGCCTAATCGGATTCTTAGCCGTTCTCCTGCTCCTTTCGATCACTGCACACTCGGCGCCTTCATGCCCTGCAGTGAAACAGGAGGTGGCTCCGTGCGTCACTTTCGTGAAAGGTGGAGCCGACGCCAAGCCATCGGAGGACTGTTGCAAAGGTGTCAAGAACCTGAGCGTGAATGCCGCTAACAAGGCAGACAAGGAAGCTGTTTGCTTGTGCCTCAAGCAAGCGTTGTCTACCGTTGGAACCTATAATCCCTCTCAAGTCTCTGCGCTTCCCAAGAAGTGTGGCATTTCCCTCGACCTCCCTGCAATCGACAAAGACACCGACTGCACAAAGTAATTGATACACTTCAAAACGCTTAAGGTATCACATTTCTGATCACTTTAGCTCATCATGTGACGTTGATGTGTGTTTGCTACGTTAGTTATATATTATGATCAACGGTTAATTTAGTGTCACATCAGAACAACTAATGCGGTCAGGAAATACAATTATTCTAGATTTGAAATATTACATTAACACTTATCTTTCTAATTAAGTTTCTTCATTTGAGTTACTGATTTATCTTCATTATTTTTTCATGCAGGGCTGAATGTTTTATCATGCAAAGTGATCTTATAAATAAATTGTACCACATGAATGTACTATCAGAGCATTACTAATAATGCCACTTGTATGAGAACAACCTATAAATTATAAATTACCGATATATTCTGTCCTTAATCTGTTTTTCATTATTATTGTTTTTAAATGGTTGAAATGAGGATTTTACAAATTTCAACTGTTAAAATGATTAAAAGCAAACAACAATGTCATGTCGATAAATATTACCTTCAAAAGAAATATCGAATGAAGGGTATATTGAATTACAGAAATCGTCAAGTGCCTCCTTGGCCCTTTCTCATCTCTAGTAACCGATCAAGTTTCTTCCTCCTCTCCCGCTTTTTGATTAGGGCGAGTCACTCAAGTCCCTCAACATTACGGAACACATATTATAACACGCCTAGATTCCTTAAATTTGATTAAAAAAAAATTTTCATCATTTTGTTGTGAATAGAATTATTAATTAGGAATATGATTGCGTAAACTTAAATAGAATCTCAATAGGATTTGGAGATCAAATCCTCATGAGTTTATATTACTTGTAAGACAAGAAAATTCATCATGATTAGTATAAATAAAAGTACAAGGCCAAGGGTTGAGGACACAATTCTCATACACTTGAGCCCTTTTGTCTTTGTCCTCTCTCTCAAGTGTGGGTATATCTAAAAAGAAGAACAAATGAAGGGATTCCAAAACCCTAAATCACAGAAGTCGCAGCTAAGAGTCACACTTGTTAAGTAACGGTGTCAACATATGGTATAAAAAGTATTTGTTAAGTAATACATCACCTTTTATTAATTAAAATGCTAGGTGGTACAACTTCATTCTACATTAATTAAAAAATGTGGAGTTGTTTACTTGGGAAATTGAGAGAGAAAGTCTTTCTTCTTCGTTGAACCAAAGTCCAAGAACAGCAGAGCCATAATGGTTTTCTCTATGTTCTTCTTCGTTTAGAATTAGACATTTCTTCTCGGTTTAAAGGTTATGTTGCACAACATCTACACAATCATTGTGGTTTTCTCTCTTCCACTACCAGTCCAGACCATTAGGTGGTCCTTGGAGGTCTCACAAGCGCTTCTTCAGACTTCTAAGTGGTTCCAGGGCCACCTGGGTCCATTCGCATCCACCCCTATTCCCTACTTTGAGACTCATGTCAGCAACTATTGTACCTATCGCGAACTGACAACAATAACTGTTATCTCCTAATCAAAAAGACCTGATGCGACTACATTCAAATTAGTGTTCTGAATATAATTATTAATTAAAAATGTGATTTCATAAATTAAAAGTATAATCCCAATATCGTAAGTTTGTATTACTTGCAAAAAAAGAAAAAAGAAAAAAAAAAAAAAACCATCATCTACAAAACCAATAATTGTCTACATACGACATGACGTTTAAAATACGGCATGGTACGTATTGCACGACATAGCGCTTACCAAGACTTCAATTACAACGGCACGCCGTTTCAACATGTTTGTTTTTCATTTCTTTCCAAACCTACTGTGTTGGGAATTCGTGAAAAAATGAAGCATTTCTGCTGCTAATGGATTTTCTGTCTCCTCGCCTCTAGAAGAGAACTGAGAAGATTCGGAAAGGTAATTGCTTTTCAACAGTTCTCTTTCTGTTTTCTTATTTTCTGTTTGGATCCCGAGAAAATATACTGCACCGATGCAAAATCTTATATTTTGTTGATTGTAACAACTCTTCCTGTAATGCAGTCACTGCTCTCATTCTTTTCAGCTTTCGTGTAAACCCCAGCTGGGTTCCTCAAATTCAAGCCCTCAAAAAATATTGGGTACTTTAATTCATGATATGAGCAGTCTGTTTTGGGTTCTTTTCATGGGTGCTAAGCTACTGATTCACATTTGATATGTATATATGGAACCTATGACAATGCTTCTTGAGTAGTTATTTGAATTGATAAAATTGAGGAATTGTATAAAGATGTGATCTTGGGATCCAAATGTTTCTAGATATTGCAACCCTGTAAGAGTTCATACAACACAGAACTTAGGAATGTAAGATTTTCTTTTATTTTTACCTTTTTGTTTCATTTTCGTGTAATGTTTAGATATCTGCTTCTTTTTTAGCAGAAGTTAGCTGGCATAAATGGCTTGCAGACGAAGTGTCTCCACGACAGTGATCTTTGTCACTCGACGTTTCAACCCGTCATTTAGTCACATTCTTCATGATAACAATGAGGATACTAAACCAACTTCACCAAATTCAAGTTCAACTCCATCTGTGATCAAGAGTATTTTGCCAAGTCCATACAACTCAATCACTCGATTTTGTTTTGGTTCTCAATGTAGAGAGAGGACAGGCTCATCACTGGCTTGGAAAATGGGACTTGGCTCCTTTTCTTGTCGGTATATGTCTACTGTAATTGGTGATGGGTCTGATAAGATTAATGACACTGGCTATTTTGCTGAGGTTATTGCGGATAAAACATTGGAAGTAGTAACCTCCCAAGCCCCTGCTGTGAGTGAAGTGGCTGTTGCAGCAGCGGATTCTTTCCCCCCAGTTGCTGCCCTGCAGTACTTGATCGATGGTGTCCATTCTTTTACTGGATTGAATTGGTAACAGAATTGATTTTAGAGAATTCTCTTACTTTTTATCTCTGATGTTTATGTTTCCTATTGTGTATGATTTTAAAGTCACAAGTTTTATCTTCAAGCAGTTTTCTATGAATTCTTGAAATTGATTAATTGATTTTCCAGGTGGGCATCAATAGCTTTAACAACTATTCTGATTCGAGGGGCTACAGTTCCACTTCTTATAGATCAACTCAGGGCCACTACACAACTTAATGTTAGTTGTTCATTCCCTTAAGCTCAATGGATTTGTGTGTGTGTGTCTGTGTGTGTGTGCACGTGCAGATTTGTTATTGAACAATAGAACATTCCGTTAATAACTCACTTTGTTTATTTGAGATTTTTTTCTACTGTGTTACAGTTAATGAGGCCGCGCTTAGAGGAGTTAAGACAACAGATGCAAAATATGGTATGCATTTCTTTCTTCTTTGGGGGGTGGGGGATGGTAGACAAACTGGAATCATGATAATCTAGTATGCTGAGATTCTCATCAAAATTCATCATAAGAAGCAAATTTGGACAACATCCTATATTGTCTATCTCATATTAACCTCGGTACTTTCCTCATTTGATATTGTGCACGGCATACAGTTTTCAGAAAGCTTCATTTGCAGGGTTTTGATACATTTTATTTGTTAGGCAACAGATCCAAATGTTATGCAAGAGGGTCAGAGACGAATGAAGGCATTGTTCAACGAGTAAGTAATTTGTTACTGTCTGATGTAATCACTTCTGATGTTTAACTATTTTCCTTTTATATATGCTAGCTTGTCAGTCATACGTGAACTTGGAGTTTAAATACATGCAAGTCTTTCTGTCACTATGATACATAAATGTTTTTATCTGAAGATAACCAATTGAAAAGTTAAGAATTTTAAGACCACTTCTAATTGCAACAAGTGCTTAATACTGATTGGTTTATCAACAAAATGAAAAATGGGGGATAATTCACTATTAAAGACAAACTACGATATTATTTAGAAGAGACCTAAATATAAAGCCAGAAAGTCTTCTTCCTGAATTTTCCTAGGGTAGCCTTCTCACATGAGGATTTGACAACCATTTTTCCTGTAGATTTTCATTATTTTCAGATTAAGGGAGTACATACACAGTGTGTCCTTTTACTTCTCGATTTCTTTATCATTGTTTCTCATGCAACTTTCTTGTGTTGGCATGTGCGTGCTTCTAACTATGTGAAACTTGCACGAGTTTGTGCAGATATGGAGTCACTCCGTTTTCTCAATTGAAAGGACTGTTCATTCAAGGTCCCATCTTCGTCTGTTTTTTCTTAGCTGTAAGATATCAGAGCCCTTCAGTTTTATAGAATTTTGTTCGAACTATTCGTTTAATATCTGATTGTTGTCACGACTTTCCAAATTTCAAGTTACGTTTCATTTTCTTACTCTTGTAATGTAGATTAGAAACATGGCCGAGAAGGTTCCTTCTTTTGAAAGTGGGGGGGCTCTTTGGTTTACTAATCTCGCTACCCCCGATAGTCTTCTCATCCTTCCAGTTCTAACATCATTGACATTTCTGATTACAGTAGAGGTACGCTTTGTTTACTTGGGTTTTTGATGAACATTTGGTTTTTTATATTTCTATCAGATGCTTTCTACCTTGTGTTATTGCTGTAATGCTTTTTGAAGGGCGAGCAAAAATGTGATTTTCCATTTTTTTTTAGTGCAATATGCAGGAGGGTCTGGAAGGGAATCCCATTGCCCAAACGATGAAAAACTATTCCAGAATCCTTGCTGCCATTTCAATTCCTGTGATGATGAGTTTCCCTAAGGTTTGTGAATTTACTGAATTTAATGCGTATTGGGTGTAGGGTATGTGCATAATCTTGTATTTTGCTTTGTTGTCTTTCCAGGCGCTGTTCTGTTATTGGCTGACCTCCAACATGTTCTCCCTTGCATATGGATTAGGTGAGTTCTTCCTGCAAATCATGAACTGCAATTTGTGTGTAAATGTTTCATAACTGTACTTATGAATTGAAGTTGCTTTAATCAGAGGCCAAAATGTGATTCAGCATATTAACGTCGGTTTCCTGATCCCAGTTTGTCAGCACTAAAATCACATTTTTTGGAGCATGTTAGAAAAATAGTAAAATATAACCCATTAGAGGGACCAGTTCCCTTTTGACAGAATCTGGTGATTCTTTTCGCCTCTTGAACATGTTTAAGCTTAACTTGTTTCTCTCGTATTTTGCGCTGACAGACTTTGTTGTCTTCCTTCAGTAATTAGGCGCCCAGAGGTGAAGAGTTACCTTCGCCTTCCAGTAATTCCCATGCCACCTCCTACTGCATCCAAGCCTCATTCCTTTATGTCTTCGGCAATTGAACAAGATACTACCGTTGAATCAGAACCTTCGTTATGCTCAGAGCAAACAAAGGCTGCAGACACAAGAATATCACGGACTTCAATTCTCAAGCAGAGGCTTAGAATTCTGGAAAAGAAAATCAAGGAAAAAAAGAAACAAAATAAGATGTGAACGCAACAAGTTTATGGTGCAGCGGATGATGAAAAGTTTTCGGTAGACAGGCTATAAATCAGTTAACAGAGGAATGGAATCCTTTTCGTTAGAACATGTTCTTAGACAAATAGTGTTACCCATTTTTCTACAATGTGATTTTAAGCTCAGAATCTTATATCAAATGATCCTAAAATAAAGTTTAGGTGACTGATATTGTTATTATTGTTATTGAATGACTTGACAATGACATGGCATGATGAAAAGATATGAGAGCATTTTTGCTCGAGTGGTGGTGAGCATTACCACCGCGGTTATTATCTTCAAGTGCGTTGCTAAGTGGTTATGCTGTTGTTTCCGTCAACCCTTACCTTACGCACTCATCAGTTTACCGTCTCATATGATGCACTGTTACCATATATATATGTGTAGGTTTGTTTAAGATTGGCTAATTTGTATGCGCCGGAAGAGGTTTCAAGTTCAAATGCCTGAAAGAGGATGCTGTCGAGTTTGCATAATTTGCCTGTGTTGTTATTTAATACAGAAACGAAAAGGCACATTGAGCATGCAGACTGGTTATTCCCCCCTTATCCTTTATACATAGAAAACCGTCCAGTGTGATGAAGGTTGTAAATGGCTCATAAAACAAATGGAACCCTATTTATGTGTATGTATCTAGTGATGTTCTGCAGTAAAATCGGGCTCAGCGGGCTTCTGAGGCAGCAATGCCAGCAATGTCGTTGAAGGTCTTGTGTCGCACTTAACCTTTTGTCGCAACCCTCGCAGCGCGTTGGCTGCAAACTTTGATGCATACACAGCGGCAAGGAGGCTTGGTAAGGTTCCTGCATCTCTCGTCAAAGCATCTTGCAGCCTGTCTTCTTCTTCGCGTACGGATTTTTCGAGCTTTCTCTTCCAGTGCCAGCGCCAAGCTGCTTGTATGAAACGGGCTGACCATGTTCTCCACAGCAGGGAGTAGAACCTGAAAAGTAACAGTTGTAGCTTGCAGCATAAGAAGTTACACACCAAAGACCAAAACAATCAACAAGAATACTAATCGCAATCCATATATCGGTTTAATTCTTTGCTTCTACATAACACAAGTTTCCTTCAAGTCATTAGAATTACTATAATTAGAGCCTTGCCTGAAAGTGCGTCGGAGCTGCTTACTGTGCAGGCGCCGAAACTGGGAGGCGACAAACTTCAAATCATCAGCCATGAGTGCAAACGCTTCAACCTCGGTTTTAGCTTCCACTGTCCTAGTTGAGGTGGGGAGATTGGTGGAAAAGTTTGGATCCAAGGCCCATGTAAGAAGCTCTTCTCCACAGAAGTCACCAGCCTTAAGATCAGCTGTGTTAAAGAAGCCGGTTCTTCCACCATTCGTAGTCATAGTTGCTAAATTTCCGCGCATAATAAACAGCATCTCATCTACCGGATCACCTTCTCGGGTTATGAAGCTCTTGTCCGTATACAGAACTGGCTTGAGGCGATCGCACATGGCATCCATCAGTTGTTCATCCATTTTTTCGAACATTGGCACCTACAACAAATTGAGCTGATTAACACAACTGCTAAAATTTGGATAGAGCAAGTATGCAGAAGTTAGAAATGAAAACACTCACTCTCTTGAGAAGAGCCAAGCAAAGATGGCGCTTTATGTCCTTTCGTAGGTCTTTAGGAAGGTTACGAACGAGATTATCTTCCTCAACACCTCTTGTTTCTTGCCATTTGTACTGATCATACTGTCGGATCCTTTCCCTCAATTTCTCTGGGAGCATTCGGTGTGACATCCACTGTTCTGCATCACGCCTTTTCACTCTCATTTCTTCAACCCTCACAGTTGTGGACTGCAGATACTTCTACAACATCACAAAAAAGGTCAGTATCTTAGACTTTTGATCATTCAATCCAGGACAAAAGTAAAATCGCCAAATTGACTATTACCTGCACATTTCCAATGAGCAACGAAAACAAAACTAATCCGGAGATCGATATGGCGACTGCAAATATTATCTCCCAAACATATGTGCTTGTTTGGAGGTTTTGGCCAAGTAAACTGCAAAACTTCAGAGTTTTAGATGCTACACTTCACAATTCTATTAGGAACGGAGTTAAAGGATCACGATTACACACCTAAGGTTGCGCAGACCCCACCAGAAGCAGAACAAGAATTTCTTTGGAAAATCTTTGGTCTCCGTCACACCAGACGCAAGAGCTTCATTATATATTCCAAAGTTGAACACTGATGAATTTTTAATGTTGCCCGGTTCACTGAAGGGGCAAGAAGCGTTCATCTTTGCAACAAAGCTTACATCAGTGCCACCCTTAGGAACACAGTACAGGAATTTCTTACAATCAACGTTCCCATTGCACTGATCGTACCAGCACCTGTACTCGCGTTCCACGGAGAGCAAGTACCAAAAGGCTCCAGCTATCTGGTATAACACGTTCGCTATCGTATCAGAAATGCCACATGATTTTCTTAGATATTTTTTAGGACTCGAAAACTATCAAAAGATCAAACCAAACTTACGTGACCGGCTAGCATGAAGAGCAGAAGATTGACAGCAGCCCCGGCCCATGCTGTTTCAGTCATGAAACCAGAAGTTCTTGTTACTTCTTGGCAGAGTGGATAGATCCTCCAAAATCTTGGCACATATTGCGCAACGATTATAAACTTCAACAAATCCTTTGCAACCAGTGGAACCGGACCCGAGATTGTAGGGATTATAACAAAAACTACAACCTGAACAGATTTAGCAAATCCAAAAAAAAAAAAGGTCAGAGTCTTGAGTCGCAGACATAAGTTCCAATCAGAGATATGGTTGACGGAGATCACTCCGTTTCAATAACAAAAGCATGTACATACTTCCTGTAGCTTTCGGATATTAAACAAAGAACTTCGTTTTCTGAAATTGATATGACTGAACAATTTGTCAAACTCCTGACTATACCTGTGGCAGGGGAAGAATGGCTAGAATGTCAATGATGAAGTATGAGGACAAGTATCTTTTCGCAATGGCCACAGGATCATCAATTAGCTCACCCCTCCCAAATACGCGAGAAGACGGGGCAATAAACCCCGTGCGGAACTGAAGGATGATGTGAAATACATGAAACATGTCGGTACATGATCGAAGAACACAAACAATGATCTGCAATGTCTTGTGCAAATTGAGGCATTTCTTTTTGCCATCAACCACCGCGGTATAAAAAAACAGCGGGTCCAAGGACACAGCTATGACACAAGAGAGCACAAATATCCTATTCCAATTCTGAAGGAATGGCCCCTGAGGGTGAAGAATTTTCCTCCTGGAGCCTGACTCATTTGTTAGCCGGTTACCTACAGCAGTGGAACTTGATGGTTTTTTCAAGCTTGTAAACCTGTCAGAACCTCTCTCCAGTCCGCTCCGAACACTCCTCAAAACTGCATTCACAGATGGTATCGCTCTTCTTGAATTTCGTCCATCATCAGAAGAAGCTTCCTTTTCAGAACTTAGAGGTCTCTCCAAATGCCAATCTTCAAACCTGGATAGAACAGCAAACGTAGAAAGCAGCAGAGAAGAAACTAATTAGATAAGGCAGACAACTAAATCAAGGATCAACTGCACGAAAATGTTCCTGATTATGAATTCAGTGTTTTATTCAAGTTGTTAAAAAACATGTAAACGGGTGAAAAGGGGGTAATGGTAAAAAAAAAAAAAAAAAAAAAAAAAAAAAAGATAAACGGACGGGTTGAGAAGGGTAAATGGGTAAACGAGTATTAAACGGTTACGATTAAATGGGAATGCAGTTATAGGTATGATTAACCATTTATAAACGGTTATGGATATGAGTATAACTGTTTAGACAATTACCCAATGGGTAAACGGTTATGCGGGTATGAGCATAAACGATTATGAGTAAATAACCGTAATTACCCGTCCACCATAACCGTTACCCATCCTTAGTTACTACATTTAAATGGTGATATTTAAGTAAATGTAAGTGGACTGCTGCACTAGGGTTTTTACAATATTTCAATCTCCTACTAAATATGCTGATTGCTTTTGATATTTTGCTTTAGTCATGTGAACTAGTACCATAACGCAGGTGCACAAACAATTGTTCGAAAGTATAGTAGGTGCCGAAAGTAATAGCAGCAGCATTGGACAAACTAACCTTAAAAATTTATGCTCCTTGGAGTTCATAATTCTGATATTGGATTCCTCTTATAAACTGCTCTTTGATATTGAAACCTACTTCGCTAAAACTGGAAGAGGCGCACGATATAACAGACCTAATAAGAACAGAATTATTAATAATGTCATTAACCTCTTAAGCAAGAGTGATAGACATAACAGCAATTTTCCAATAGAATAATCAGTCTGCAAAATCGACGTTTTCACACTCGAAACAAAACAACCATGCAGTGATCATTTTCTTCTAAGCTGAGTTAATCATTGTAGGCATTGACTCAAAAGTCTGAATCAAAGAAAGAATAGTACCAAAAAATTAGAAACAGGAAGAAAACATGGTAATTGAAAATCATCCATAGTTAAGCCCGATGAACACTAAACCAGAGAAAACCCTAACGAACATTCAAAAAGAACAAACTATATAACGCTCCTTTGTCCCCTCATACTAGTTAACTTTCTGTTTGGTTGCTGAGAAAAGAAAACTTCAACTTTCAACACTTCTGTGCTTATATATATTGGTATACGTTATTTTCCCAAAGAATGAAAACCCATGTCAGAAAAAGCAACACTGATGCATCAGACCTAAACCCAACAAAGATGAAGCTTCTTATTTTCTGATATTCTCAAAGTTATGAGTATTTTCTCTTCTTTTCTCACCTTATTTTCTCGAACCCCAAACAAAAAACCAAAGGCCACAGAACTTGATGATGAAGAAATCAAGGAAAAAAAAGAATATGTTACAACTTGTAGGGAGATTTCGTTTGTGAAAAAGCAAAATAAGTTTTGCAGAGAGAGTTTGCAAATAGCAGTTACACTTGTCATCGTGTGAGTTTTAAGAGAGAAATAATAGTGGGAGGGAATAAAAACACAAGACAGAGAGAGAGTCCACGCGTATGAAGAGTCCAAGTCAAGCCCAGTGGACCTCCAGGAAACTGATCGAGAATGGTAAGAGTATTGTCTAGGCTACATGGCTAGGGCCCACTTACCACCATGCCTTTTACATAGTATCTTTCGGGGTCATCAGTTTACTACGTGTTTTGAACACGTTGCAAACGTTTATTGGACGTTAATGATATTAAGGCTAAATTGTAATTACGTAAGAAAAATCTCTCATAACTTATTGGGACTTCAAATGCCTCTAGCTAATTGTCCTAACCCACGGAATTATATCCGTTCATCGTACATTGTGTGGTCAGAAATTATTTAAAATTCAAATATAAATAGTACCTAAGGAAAACTGACTACACGATGTATGATGAACGGATAAGATTGTTGTATCCCTAGGAAAAGGATCCGGCGAGGATCCTTTTCCCTAACCCATGCCCGTTTACTTACTATCATGTTAATTATTACGATTTACAATACCACCAGCAATAGTATGCATGTGCTTATTAAAGTTTTGAAAAAAAATTTACAAAAAGAAATGGCCCTTCAAGCTTTTTGGTGACGACTTTGAAACGATTTTTCGTCGCTGTCATATATTTAGCAACTATTTATGGATAATTTTTTTGTCATTCAAAGTTTATTTTATTTGGGAGAAAGACTTGAAAGACAAAATAAGGGCAACTGATATGGATACTTGATTGTGAAGCTTTGAAAAAAATAGTAAAATTATTTTGCATTTAATTTACTATACTATTCATAATTTTTGTTTTGACTATTTTAGTTTCGTTAACAGGGTTAATTTAATATTTTCAACTTTTTTTTTGTTAACAAATTTTTTTTATTAATAGATAATTTAGGGCATGTTTGGTATCTTAATAAATAAAAAAATTCATTTTCAAAAATATTTCTTAAGAACAGTTTTTTATAAGACCTAAAACCTTGTTTTGTATGATATTCAAAATAGGAAGAGATCAGATAAAAAGAGAAGAGGAGAGAGAGATGAGTAAAAAAAAATTTTAAAACTGACTTTTTGTGTTTTTCCCACAAGTAGACTAGTTTTTCAAGTTGGTTTTGAGTCCACTTTTAAAACGTAGTCTGACGAAACGAGGATTATTGACTTGAGACTCAAATTATATTTTTGAGTTAAAAAATTTGTGTTCGAGTTGAATACCAAAAAAATCCGTAGATATTCCAGATGATTCCAAGAAAGAAGATTTAATTTTGAGTAAATATACTACCCTAATCAATTTCACGTGTGTATCGTGTATGATCATTGGCACTTGACGACAAAAACGACTCGCCTTTCGTTTAAAGGGAGGGACCCCAAAACTAGGAATATGATCATCTTCAGATTCTCTTTGTAGATATACGGAAAATTAATCAATTATTTTTGTTCATCGTATATCGTGGTTAGAAATTATTTAAAATTTTTAATTTAAAATTGAATATAAATAGTATCTAACGAAAACTAGTCGCACAATATACAATGAATGAACATGAATGATTGATTCCCCGGATCCCTACAAAGAGGATCTGAAGAGGATCCTTGTCCCCAAAACCAAACCTTCTCAACTATTTCACTTTACATACTTTTTTGACTGGTAATATGTAATATTAGGGATACTAAACTTGTAGATAAAGTTTGCAAATTAAATAATATGTCACTAACAGAAATGAACACGTTTATCAACATTTAAGTAATAATCTAATCATTAACTTTCATGTCGTTTAATTTACAAATTTAATCTCTATGGCATTACTCAACCGAAAAACATCCTCAACCCCATCAACATAATCCCATACCAAAAGCACTCCTCTTAATTGCGTTTTTCACCTCTTTTTCTTTGAAACTTGTTGCATTTCTGGATTTTTGTTTTTCCAACAATACTTATTATCACACGACGTATAATTTGGAGGTCACTATCTCGACTAAGCTATCTCGCTTGTTAGGGGAGCTTAATTGAGAAAGTGTTGCCAAAACGAGTTGAAAGCAGTTAGTTCGATTGGTTTACATACAATGCACCGCATGTCGTCTACAACTTTACTTTTGGTTTACATACAATGCACCGCATGTAAATCTGACAACGGTCCTATGTTATTAAATAACACCACCAACCATTGACCCAAAAAAAAAAAAACAGAGAAAAGGGAGTCTTCTTTTGGAAAAGAAAATAGTACGTAGTATCAGTATGAATCCAAATTAATAGTTGAAGACTTTGTTTAGCATGTCAAACGTAGAAAGGTTCATTGCTTTATTATTTGAAAATGTCTTCTTTGTGCACTTGCTTTAACTAATAGTCAAATAAGTGATATTAGAACTAGGAGGCTTGTATTAATCTCAGTTGGTTTTAAAATAGATGAATTTGTAACAATGTTTCCTCAGCTTTAATTTAATTGGAGTAGAGGTCTACGAACTAAAAATCCATGACCATTGGTCTCTTAAATCTTCCAAACGTGCAGCTATCGTCATATTCGTCAACTCCGTTTGAACTTCCGTCAAAATGAGTCATGTGCCACACACGTGATGTTGAATCAAGGGGCAAATATGGAAACAAAATGAGAAAAATTGTAGCAAAGGTCCCTCAACTTTAACCCAATTGGAGAAATAGTTCCTTAACTTAAACCCAATTGGAGCAATGATCCATCAACTTTAACCCAATTGTAGCAATGGTCATTCCAACATGACTCATTTTGAAGGAATTTTGATTGAATTGACAAAAAATACCATAGTCTTTATGATGAATTAGAGACCAAATGGTCATGAATTTTTAGTTGAGAGACCATTATTTTAATTAGATTAAAGTTGAGGAATCATTGCTACAATCTTCTTTTTAGATTATGGAATTATCGAAATTTGGATGAACCAAGGTGCATAGGAAAATAGGTATGAATTAAGCTAGTCGAGTTCGAATGTCTCCATTTTGATAAAAAATAAAAAAAAAATAAAAAAAATAAAAGTTATGAATTCGAATAAAATTTCTCACAAGTAATAAAAAATTACATACTGTATTTTTCAGTCTTCGGAGTCACAGGGCGGCATTAGGCAAATTTGCACCAATTATGCAGTGATCATTTAAATATAAACAAAAGAACATTCTAATCTTGTAAATTGAAAGTAAACCTAAGTGCGTACCCAAGTTTTTGCCTAGAGCCCTCCTCAAGTTCGAAACATCATTCCGTAATTTAGATTAGATTAAAATATTACTCGAAATTAAATCCCGTATCCGGAATGTAAGGCCATGCACAGAGGCTGAAATGACCATTAGTTCTGCTTTGTTTCGCCGTTAAATTGAAAACTGTTATAATTACCAGACGGCCCAAAAGAATATCCCACCAGACGGCCCAAAAGAATATCCCAAGAAGGCTAGTTTAACTTCATCAATTTGCGAGTAATATAATTTGCTCAAATATGTGGCAATTTATTTGCTGCAATTAGCATGACAAGAATGGAATTGTTCAACTTTCCTTGGGATCTCATTAAGCTCCCATGACAGAAAAATAGCAAGATATACAGAACTAGGGAAAAGGCAGATGATTACGACTAAAAATAGCGATAATCATGCCGGTTTATCCAAATTACAGTACTGAACGTTCTCAGATAATTAAGTTTTTCGGGGAAAAGAAAATTACAATGCTAGATTAGCTAGTGATACAACAAGTTTCCTATCTGTATGCTAATACAAATCAAACTAGCTAACCAGAAATATTCTGTTCAGTCCTTCCTTAACAATTTAAAGTGAAAAAGGCGACTTTCCTCAACGTTCTCTAGGGTTTATCCTCATCTGACTGAGAGCATGGCGGTCCGGGTACAGAATCAACAAAGAACTCCTCCACTGATGCAAGGTAAAGCTTGTAAGTTATATTTGAACCCGTCCGACCAATATTATTAACCTGTAAAAACTATATATAAAATAAAATAAAAAGTAGAATAACTGATGCAATTCCAATTACCTATATCCTCTGGCTCTGGGGAGTCGAGTAAAATTTCAGAATCAGACGGTAGAAATGGGGAACCGGGATAGTTTCCTAAGGCTCCTAATTCTGCACAGAAAATCAAGGCAGTGAAATAACTAAACCGTCAGATATAAGAATTATGCAAAAGCAGCTTCATTTCAGTATTCATGCTTGGATCCGACATGTTACTTTATGTGCCTACACACGTAAGACTGAAATGCTGTAAGCCTTTCAAACGGCTTTAAATGTACCAAAATATTTGCTGCAACAAAACCTGCAGTTTCATGTTTACTCAGAAAACCCTTGCGTAATTTAAAAGCTAGTAGAAAAAGGAATGTTAAAAATTAAGTTCAGATCAATACAGAAAGTTATATTCTTGTTATACCCTCGGAGAAAGATATGAAATGCTTGTATCAGATATTGGAACTTAGAATATGCATGCTTCTGCTATATTTTGGCGATAACTCAAGCGCGTCTAGATGGAAATTGCAACTAACAATAGACACAGTTCTACCTATGTATCAAAATTTTATACAGAGATCTCTACAATAGCAGAAAATCATATATTCTATGCTAGGTACTTCAAATGCTTTATGGCCGGAAAAAGTATTAACACTTAATGACCGTCATAAATGATCCAAATAACCTTCAATTTCAAAAATATAATGTAAATCTGCCAATTGCTCAACACTACAAATTACCTCCCAAGTTTGACAAATCTGCTGTAAGATCTGATAAGCTGAAATTCCACTGAATTTGGTCCAGCGATCTCAAAGAATCCCGAGAATTTCCAGCTCCACCATCAGGTGCAAGTTGCAATCCAACAGAACTTGCCACATCGGATGTAAATGGTGTATCAAGTGCTGTGTCTACTCCCATTCCAGATATTTCTGAAGCAGAGAACGGGAAGTGGCCACTCGATGCAACTGATGTAGGACTTACAGGCATCTCCGATATGGGTGACATGGCGCTGTTTGGTGGAATGACAGGAACCACATCAGCACCACTGCAGTCCATCATAATACTTCAAAAAGAATAGATAAACAAAAAATAGTGGCCATTAGAAAAACTTTTATCTACCGAAACAGGATACAGGTGCACGAGACAAGGCAATGTCATCCAATACACTTGTTCCATAAGGAAAAGAAACTGTTTGAACCAATGTAATTCCTAAAAGAATGGGAAGGGGGGGGGGGGGGTGGGGTATCAGAGGAACAAAAAGTGTCTCTAAGGTTTAGGTAACAAATTATTTGTCATATTAAATGAGTAATCAAAGAGAGAAAATTCTCACTCATTCCCAGAATTCATCCGCATGGGATGAAAGTTGCTTGGTGCAGGTACTCCATTAACTACATGACAGTTAGACATTGCACATCCCATGGAATCGACATGGGGCTGACCCGCTGCTGGCATTGGAGGTTGCTGAAGGACGGGGTATCCCATAGGTAAGTTGTTAACTGCACTGCAAACAAGTGGCAATGAATACTAAAGACTATCACATAAAAATATCTTACTACAGATTGCCACAAACTGACAGCCATAAATAGATCCTTGTCAAACGAGAGTTCATCCAGAGTTCTTAAAAATGGAAGCATAGCTCTGTTAGCATTGAGGAACCAAATTATGATTCCTATGCATCCACCAAAAGAGATGGACATAAAGTAGAGCTAACAGAATCAATTCATGCATTTAACTTTATCCCACCATGTTGCTGCAAGCTGAAAACTTATAAACAAAAGAACATTCTAATCTTGTAAATTGAAAGTACACCTAAGTGCGTACCCAAGTTTTTGCCTAGAGCCCTCCTCAAGTTCGAAACATCCTTCCGTAATTTAGATTAGATTAAAATATTACTCGAAATTAAATCCCGTATCCGGAATGTAAAGCCATGCACACAGGCTGAAATGACCATTAGTTCTGCTTTGTTTTCCCGTTAAATTGAAAAGTGATATAATTACCAAACGGCCCAAAAGAATATCCCAAGAAGACTAGTTTAACTTCATCAATTTGCGAGTAATATAATTTGCTCAAATATGTGGCATTTTATTTGCTGCAATTAGCAGGACAATAATGGAATTGTTCAACTTTCCTTGGGATCTCATTAAGCTCCCATGACAGAAAAATAGCAAGATATACAGAACTAGGGAAAAGGCAGATGATTACGACTAAAAATGGCGATAATCATGCCGGTTTATCCAAATTACAGTACTGAACGTTCTCGGATAATTAAGTTTTTCGGGGAAAAGAAAATTACAATGCTAGATTAGCTAGTGATATAACAAGTTTCCTATCTGTATGCTAATACAGATCAAACTAGCTAACCAGAAATATTCTGTTCAGTTCTTCCCTAACAATTTAAAGTGAAAAAGGCGACTTTCCTCAACTCTCTCTAGGGTTTCTCCTCATCTGACTGAGAGCATGGCGGTCCGGGTACAGAATCAACAAAGAACTCCTCCACTGATGCAAGGTGAAGCTAGTAAGTTATATTTGAACCCGTCCGACCAATATTATTAACCTGTAAAAACTATATATAAAATAAAATAAAAAGTTGAAGAACTGATGCAACTCCAAGTACCTATATCCTCTGGCTCTGGAGAGTCGAGCAAAATTTCAGAATCAGACGGTAGAAATGGGGAACCGGGATAGTTTCCTAAGGCTCCTAATTCTGCACAGAAAATCAAGGCAGTGAAATAACTAAACCGTCAGATATAAGAATTATGCAAAAGCAGCATCATTTCAGTATTCATGCTTGGATCCGACATGTTACTTTATGTGCCTACACACGTAAGACTGAAATGGTGTAAGCCTTTCAAACGGCTTTAAATGTACCAAAATATTTGCTGCAACAAAACCTGCAGTTTCATGTTTACTCAGAAAACCCTTGCGTAATTTAAAAGCTAGTAGAAAAAGGAATGTTAAAAATTAAGTTCAGATCAATACAGAAAGTTATATTCTTGTTATACCCTCGGAGAAAGATATGAAATGCTTGTATCAGATATTGGAACTTAGAATATGCATGCTTCTGCTATATTTTGGCGATAACTCAAGCGTGTCTAGATGGAAATTGCAACTAACAATAGACACAGTTCTACCTATGTATCAAAATTTTATACAGAGATCTCTACAATAGCAGAAAATCATATATTCTATGCTAGGTACTTCAAATGCTTTATGGCCGGAAAAAGTATTAACACTTAATGACCGTCATAAATGATCCAAATAACCTTCAATTTCAAAAATATAATGTAAATCTGCCAATTGCTCAACACTACAAATTACCTCCCAAGTTTGACAAATCTGCTGTAAGATCTGATAAGCTGAAATTCCACTGAATTTGGTCCAGCGATCTCAAAGAATCCCGAGAATTTCCAGCTCCACCATCAGGTGCAAGTTGCAATCCAACAGAACTTGCCACATCGGATGTAAATGGTGTATCAAGTGCTGTGTCTACTCCCATTCCAGATATTTCTGAAGCAGAGAACGGGAAGTGACCACTCGATGCAACTGATGTAGGACTTACAGGCATCTCCGATATGGGTGACATGGCGCTGTTTGGTGGAATGATAGGAACCACATCAGCACCACTGCAGTCCATCATAATACTTCAAAAAGAATTGATAAACAAAAAATAGTGGCCATTAGAAAAACTTTTATCTACCGAAACAGGATACACGTGCACGAGACAAGGCAATGTCATCCAATACACTTGTTCCATAAGGAAAAGAAACTGTTTGAACCAATGTAATTCCTAAAAGAATGGGAAAGGAGAAGGGGGGGGGAGGGGGGGGGGGTGTGGTGTATCAGAGGAACAAAAAGTGTCTCTAAGGTTTAGGTAACAAATTATTTGTCGTATTAAATGTGTAATCAAAGAGAGAAATTCTCACTCATTCCCAGAATTCATCCGCATGGGATGAAAGTTGCTTGGTGCAGGTACTCCATTAACTACATGACAGTTAGATATTGCACATCCCATGGAATCGACATGGGGCTGACCTGCTGCTGGCATTGGAGGTTGCTGAAGGACGGGGTATCCCATAGGTAAGTTGTTAACTGCACTGCAAACAAGTGGCAATGAATACTAAAGACTGTCACATAAAAATATCTTACTACAGATTGCCACAAACTGACAGGCATATATAGATCCTTATACCCCACACAACTTACAGAAATAATAATCCTTTGACAATCACTATTGAGAATAACATTGAAACCTTAAAAGTCAAACGAGAGTTCATCCAGAGTTCTTAAAAATGGAAGCATAGCTCTGTTAGCATTGAGGAACCAAATCATGATTCCTATGCATCCACCAAAAGAGATGGACATAAAGTAGAGCTAACAGAATCAATTCATGCATTTAACTTTATCCCACCATGTTGCTGCAAGCTGAAAACTTACCAGGCATAGGATGGATCCCATTTTGTATAGGGGCCAAAGGAACCTTCGGAGGCATGGGATTATACTTCAAGAGATGATAGTGATGTTCCAGTAAATGATTGAAAAGGAGGATTTGTTTTTTCAATTTTAGCCTTATGTAATAGGCCCTGAAAAAGTCAGCATTTTCTTCTTCCAACTTCTGCCATACTGTATCAACAAATCAAAATAAAGAAAGTCAGCATTTTCTCCCAACTCACGATCACAACTAAAAAGATAAACATGTAGCGTATCAGGGTTACATATTTAATCCATTGATCCCTCATTAATACAGAAGAGACGATTATGTATAGCACTAGCAAAATGCCTAGTTATAAATCATAACATGTACAATTCCACTAAATGTAATGGCAGTAACGACAGTACAAATACTTAAAATAGGTTTCGAGTTGCCTACCCAAAGTTGTAAATCCAGGATCTATCCTTGCCCGAGTCAAGAGCGTTTTAACTACCTCATCTCTATTCATATATAATTGTAAACACCGCTCTATTAGATTCTGGACCTAAAACATTCATTTAACAGAATGTATCATAGCACAGATGAGAAACAGATTAGTCAAGCTACTCCACAAACATTATTCAGAAAAGGAAACAAAGTAAGACATACGGAACATAATAGAAAATGTAGAAAAGGAAAGAAAAGATTGCCAAAAAAAGTAATATATCCTCACAAGTTCAATATCTTGGCGTGATACTTTCTTGTTATCATTGCCTGAAGTGGATGCTGAAGCTGAATCTGTTGCAGGAGCCTCATTACTTTGGTTTTTCACTTGGTCACCTTGTGAATCATGTAAAACTTGAGTTGATGATGGATTTTCTTGCGTGCTCTGCGAATCCAAAAATAGGACTTTCTCTTTAGTCAAGAGAGAGATGTGCAAACAACCAGGTATGACACGCTAACAATGCGAAGAATTATGAAGTGGCACCTGTAAGTTCTTCATTTCATCTGAATGCAGGTGGAACACATGTCTTCAGTATGGCTCCGGTATTCTCCAAGCTAAAGGTTGTCTTTGCTGATACCAATACTCTCACACTTACAAACAACACCAATAACTATTCCATCAGTAAACAATACATATTCCAGATTTTATGCATTTAGTTTATAAGTTTCTACGCGTATAAACGAGCAAAGATGCATTTTTAAATTCGAAACACTCATTCAAAGTCTTCCCCCAACGACTCAGAGCAAAGCATTAACTAAAATTGGAAGTCCTTGTGTTGTGCTTTATCTACTTTGGTTTGGAAAATCCGCGAGTTTGAGCTTTCAAATACACAACAAGCACATGTAACAAGTCATTTCTCAAGGTGCCTATATTCTACCATTATAAGGCACTTATTGTCCCGCTAAAAACATCGAAAACGTATATAGATATATTTCCAGTTCATACAAGTTCTTTCGAAATCTTCGGTGTTTTCACTTCTGAGCAACAAAATTGAATCAAAAGCTTACATGGAATTTTCTGTTTTTGCCATACTCTTTAGATAGCAAAGAAATGCAGCATTTTTTTTTTACCACAAAACGCCTAATCTTTAATATTTATGCAAGAATTTTACACCCTAAATAACTGAAAAACTCTACAGAAATCATAAATAATTGAAAATACAGAAATTATGTGCATCCTTCAAGATCTCAGGACAACCAAGATTTTCAAAACCAATTAGTTTCGATCAGATCTCAGTCAAGTCCAAACCTTTTAGCCAATTTGCCACCTTTACACATTACATACAAGCTTAACCATTAAAATAAACTAATTTAATCATATAATTCAACTTAATAAACCATTAAAAAATTAGAGACAGAAAGACCTAGACAGAGAATACAATAAATTCAAAAAGAATCAATAGAAAAAGGAAATAGAAGGTGAAGATCCAGCATAAAATAAACTATACTACCTTAAAATCCCAGTTACAAAATCTCCAAGAAAACAAAACCGACACACTTTATTTCGACAAATTAAGGGAACCCAGTTCCAGAATCTCCCAGAAGACAGAAAAGACACTTTATTTCGACGAATTAAGAAAACCCAGTTCCCTTTTCAAGCTGAAGAGTCAACAAACATCGAACAGACACCTCTCTCTCTCTCTCTCTCTCTCTCTCTAGAAAAAGCTTGAGCAAGTACAAAAAGAAACAGACTTGGAGGCTCAAATTACAGACTATGGCTTCTACGTAGCTGGTATTAGTTCGAGATTACTTCCATTATATTTAAATAATAAAAAATAGAGAAGGAGGAGGAGGAGGAAGAAGGAGTTGGGAGTTGAAAGGTCGCAGCAAGATAGCTATGGCATTATTGGAAGGTGCAGCATGAGAGAGACTATTGTAAAGAAACAAAAAGAAGGAGAATAAGAAAAAGGAGTTGGGATTTGAGATGATATTTGGGTTTGGCTTTTATACTATTGGGCTTTCTATTTTCAAACTTATTTTTCCTCGAAATTTAGGCGAGAAATTATCTTGAAATAGAAATGTTTAAATGAATAAAATATAAATTATCAAGCTGAGTAAAATATTATTGGGAAACACTAGCAACTTTTTACTCGGAAATTCTCGTTTTACTTCACTTCCTTTGTATATCATCTTGTAAGTCTTTGAAGATCAAAACTGTCTGACTTCTTGATCATCCTTTGAAGATTAGTTATAGGGAAAATCAATCAAATAAAAGATTGTTTAATTGTTCAATTAATGTTTTCAAAATTTTAGTTCTATGTGAGAAATATAATTTGTCTATTTATCAGACCATCCTCTAAATAAAATGTCTAACTGTAAGAGTCAAATTCAATTGATGATTGATGTGGCAATCTAAAGTTTTATGTAAAATTTTGTAATTCTACAATTGAATTATCAAATGTTATTTTATTATTTAAATAGAGCTTTAAAGTTTTGTAATTATTAAAAAAAAGTTGATACAAAAATTTTATTGGTAAAATGATAATGGAATAAGTGACCACCATTAAAATGAATTAAAAAGAAATTTGACATTGATATCAATTTGACTCCAAAGCACAAAGCCTTTAAATTTATCTGCAAATAACATTTCGGTTTGAGAGATTTTTGATGTCAAATATGTACAGTAGCATTCCACATAGGATTTTGATATCTTCTTCAAAGATGCTCTTAGGTTATCTAACGACTTCTAGTTTAGCAATCTTTTATATATATGATATTTAAATGATTAACCAAAAAAATAGACTGAGTTCGAACCATTGTGAAACATTTCTGAAGAAGAAGAATAACTGAAAATGTAAAACAAAGAAAGTTTCTTTATTTATTTAGGAGTTTATAGGCTTGGGCCACGGGCTCTTCACAATTGCGCGGACTTTATTTTCTATTGGTTACAACGATAAATTTGCAAAATGGAGAGAAGAAAATAAATTAATATTAAAATCGTTATCAAGAAATTCAAGTTACATCGCACTTATAAACAAAGAAAAATAACATTCGATCGATGTACAAACACACTATTTATCTATTATTTATTTTTCACAAAATGATAATGCGTCACTATTCACGACTCACGAGGCCTCTGTGGTGCGGGCAATTGTCATGGCTCACGAGAGCACCCTTTGTTTTCCCAAATCTTCTTTTATTTACTAAAAGATAATTTTTCTTTCTTTGAAATTGAATTGAATTTTTTTTTTTTGTCAATATATTCTTTTTGTTATTTTGTTACTCATTTAATTATGTAGTGCTCTTGGCTGCTTTTTTTTTTTTTTTTTTTTTTTCTTTTCTAATGTAATAGTGTTGTTTATGAATGGAATTAACAAACCTTCTGCCAATGATACTTGGTTAAAATCGAGTAGGACAAAACTAAAATATAATGTGAAGTCTATTTACTTCTCAATTTTTATGTATTATAAAACGAGTGATGTGTGAGAAATAAAAATGATACATATACTTTGTATACATATTTATGGTACGTAAGCATATCATTGTGTAAGCTAAATATGAGGAGAGCACCGTAGCATCAGTGAGACTAGTGATATTGATCCATTGAAATTTTGGCACATGTACAACTAAAACACATCTGCTACTGCTATCCAACGTCTTATTGAATAAGTTGTAGAACTACTCACACATGTTATACATTTCTCGAAAGTTACTGCACGTTAGAGTTCAGTATTACTCACACATGTTCACACCTATAATTTCAGAGCGAGCATTTGTAGACGTGAAACTCAAGATTGACTATCAAAGCAGATCCCAGAAACCCTAGTTCTAAACCTAAGTCCTAATCGCTAGAATTCATACGTACTTAATCAACTTTCAACCAAAAAATAATTCCACGGTTCCTCGTTGTCATTCTTCTAATTCTATTCTCGTAATCAAATAACACATAAAACTCATATACTCTTTCCTAAGGGAGAGGGATAAAAAAGGAGCTTCATTAATCAAACCTGAATTACAAGGGTAATGTTATTCATACCATGTTTTCGTACCACATTTTCATACCATCTTAGGTGACATTTGACAACCACATCATTTGAATTAATCAGATTTTTAAATTTAGTTTATTATTTAATAAACTAATAATTAAGAAAAACTAGTTAATTAAATTATGATTGTGGTATACGAGAAGTCTTTCTCCTTCATTTCCTTGGGTTTTGCAAATTTTTCAAATGATATGGATGTCCACATCAAATGTCACCTAAGGTGGTATAGAAATGTGATACAAAAACATGGTATGCATAGCAATACTCGAATTACAATGATCGTATGCGTGCATGCACAAAAGGTGGCTAAAAAAATTTGAATAAATTATACGAAAAAACTCCGAACAAGAAAAAAAGAAAAAGAGCCGTACATGCCAAAGACATCAGCTTAATAGTCAAATAATCAGATAAGTCTTAGCTAACTAATGAATCATCAACCATGGAGAGGACCTGAATCTAACCACACAGAGAACCGCTTTAAGGAGGAGAATTATCTCCCCTCTTAATCTCTCATCTTCCATTTCTTTATATTTGAATGATTACGGTTAAACTACTTTAACATCTTATATTGATTTTTTTTTTTTTTTATAAAAACAATAAGACAAAAAGCAATATGTGAAATGAGGGAAGAAAAAGAGATGAAAATAGGAGAAGAGAGAATCCTACTCACTCAAACAAACCAACATAAGACCGATCAAGCAAGCATCTTAATAGGAAATACATTCGAAAGAAACGAACAAAAGTAGAAAGACATCGTGGGAGTGTGGCCATGCATCATTTAAAACTGGATTCAAAAGGCAATGCATAATCTACACTATGTGGAACATTCTTTGTTAACTAAAAAGGGTGAAAGATATTTTTGTTTTCTATCACGACAAATAAGTTAATGACAGTAATGTAATTTCATAAAACAAAATTTTGCTGTTTTTTTAAACCTCACTTATAAGTGATTTTATCATCTCTAATTTTAAAAAATAAAAAAAAATAAAAAACAAATCTCTCTTCCTTTTTCTCCATTCCCACGTTCTCATTCTCTTTCTCTCTCCTTCAATTTTAAACACAAAAGTAAAAAATTTCCTACACTTTATTTGTGGGTATATATACTAGTATAGAAAAAGAATAAAAAAAATATGAGATTTGCGGTGTGGACTTGTGGACCGACCTCTATAAGAAAGAAAAAAGCGACCATCTTAATAATTAAGGAAGATATAAGGAAATGACAAGAGTGATTGTAATAATGCATGCAAGCAAATCCAAGTTGTTGATTGTTGTTTGTTTCACTCATTTTTTCTGAATACACATGCACTACACAGCATGGTGCATATATAATAATTATTTAATTAACATATCATATTTTTATTTTTGTTCAAGACAAACGTCTGATATCCAATTTTAACATACGTTTAGGGAAGTACGTAAATTTGGTAACATACACTTTTGCAAACTTACGACATAAATATAATCATCCTTGTATTTGGTTTTGTAATTTTCTTAAGAGATCTATGCCTAGAATAAGTTTTGATACGTATTATTTATAAATCTGACGAGGATTTTTTTTTTTGTAATTTTATTTAATAAAAAGGGAGTGCCAATTATAAAACTGTGGTCCAACCATGGAAAAAATCTCATAGCCCATCAAGCTGATTTCTCCATTGTAAATTTGTAAATATATGTTTCAAGATATTATTCTGCAAATGAGACGACAGGACCACATTTGTAGTTTATATACAATCATACTGAAGTGAATTATGGCGGTTTGAAGACGACTTAGCCATTTTGGTCGTATGTAGATTCTGGATCCCAACTCGAGGAAATCTCCAACTCTTACTAAAACTCATGAGTCACTGCAAAACTCCAACTCTATACAGACTAATTCATGACAATTTATTCTGCATATTATAAAGCAACTGGAAATCAGATAGAAGTTTTTATGAGAAAATGCAAGAGTCATGAGAATCACTTTTTTTAATTTATTTTAATGTGAATAAATTATTCTTATGTAATACCATCTCCTAGTGTCACTGCAACTCATCTTTTTTTTTTTTTTTTTTTTTTTGTTTAAAATTAGTGCGGAGGTCTCAGATTCGAAACAATATGTTTGTTTATTTAGTTTGCAATTTTTACAAATTTCCTTTCATAAAAGTACTGTGATCATAAAGTTTAACTAGAAATTGTGGTTTATGTTGTTTAAAATTAATGAGGAGGTTCCGGATTCGAAACACTATATGCGTTTTTTACTCTCTAGTTTTTATGAATTTCTTTTCGTAAGAGTATAAGTTAGAAGTTTAATAAAAGCAATGATTTTTGTTGTTTAAAATTAATAAATTAGTTCGAGGTCTTTTGGTTCCCTTCTCTCAATACAAAAGTAAATTAGTTTTTTTGCGTTTCTAAATTATTGAGTTTGAAGTGTTTTTCTAAATATAATTTATCAAAGTCTTATGTGTAAAAACAGATAGTTTTTCTTATACGAAATTAGGGCACATTTTTAACGTCGTTTGGGCGCCTCCAAAATTTTAGGACCAGCCTTGCTCATCATATACAACGTTATTAATCCACATGTGATTACATACTTTATTTGAAAGTGTACTTAGAATATAGCAAAAAAATGATTTAAGATAATAAAAAAAACGTATCTGATAGCGGTTAAAATAATAATAAAAAAAAGAGTTAAAAGTGCTTATATCGGAGCTCAAAAATCATTAAAATCGGAGCTAAAATAACCGTTAAATTGTGATTTTTCGTTTGTAACCATCGAAAACTTTTGTTCCGTTATGTAATCTCTTAATGTTTATTTTTTACGATTTTTTACGTATGCAATCTCGGAGTGTGTAAAAATAAGTTTGACGGTTGGATCGTTGAAAAAAGTTTCGTAGAATGCATATCGTGTCAAAACGGTAGATTAAACAAACTCTTAGAGTTAATATTATACTTCCAATAAGTATAAAACAAGATTTTGTGGTATCCACTGGTGTAAATATTTTAAATTGAAGATCGAATTCGTTCATTTCATTCTTATAGGGTCAAGGAGTGTAGCTGTAAAAAAATATCAAAACCAGAGCTAAAATAACTATTAAAATGTGATTTTTCATTTATAACTGTCGAAAACTTATGTTTTGTTACCTAATCTCTGAATGTTTTTTTTTTTTTTTTTTTTGTGATTTTTTATGTATGCAATCTTGTAGTATTTACAAATAAGGTTGACGGTTAGATCATAGAAATTAGTTTCGTAGAATGCATATCTCCAATAAATTTGCCTAAATTTTGAAGCAGGAAAGTAATTTGTGCTAATTTTTTTTTTATGTTTTTCAAGTATTGATTATACAATATTTAGTTTGTATGATGACATTTTCATTGTATAATTATTTTTTTGTTTCTTTATCGCATATTTTACATGGGTTATTATCTATTAAACCAAACAATTATTTATTTAATTTTTTAAAAACGTATTCTATTTAAATACATAATATTTATTAAACCAAACAATTATTATTTTATTTTTTAAAATCGTAACAAAATTTTGGGAGGATTTTTGCCACCATTTTTTTCTGTCGATTATAATTGACAGTAATGAAAATTTTCTATCGGTTTTTATTTAAAAAAAAAATGTTTTTGTTTGTTTTAACCGACAGTAGTGAAAATTTTCCAAAATAAAGCCCCTCCATCTCTTCCTTGTGACGGTGCCTTCTCCCTTCCCCCTTTTCTCCTCTCCTCATTTCCTTCTCCTTCTCTTCTCCCTATCTCCTTCTCGCTTGAATCACCATGGATGAACAAGGCAGAAGCTATGCAAACTCTTGAGCACAGAGACAAGCAAAGCGCTGTAAGTCCTTCCACATGCTTCCACCTATGATTTAATTTATGTTTTTGTTGGATATGAATAATTCATATTTTGGAAGATGTCAACAAAGGCTCCATCTTATTGGGATTTCATAGATATTTATGGATTTTATAGTTAAATTGCTTATATATAATGTTATAAATACCCAAAAAATTTGTATTTGCGTGAAAAATTTTTTTATTGAAGAAACATATGGATTTCAAATGATCCATATATCAAATTCGTAACTTTATCATTTGACATTAAATTATTTAAATTTTTTTTTTCAAATGTCACTTACTACTATGGTTTAGTTGTATGATTCTCTATTTGCAAGTGGGAGATTTTAGATTCGAATCTTGTAAGTAGTAAGTTCATAACCGACGAGTTTTGTAGAAATTAATTATGACTAGCTCATTGTGTGGCTATACCCAAATCTCATCACCTTTGTGTTTTATTTCAAATAAATTTTATTAGTAGTAATTAATCAGGTTCAAATTAATAATAAAATAAATAAATTTTGGGGGGAACTTTGTAGAATAGATTTATTGAATCGATTATTATTCTTGATCGTAACCAACGAGTTTTATTCTTGAAAGTGGTTTATAATTTTTTTATTACTAATATATTTTCTGTCGGTTTTATCCGATAGAGAATGCTCTTATTTATTCATTATTAATAAATTCTCTATCGGTTATATCTGACACAAGTTTTGTCGGTTTTAGAGTATTTTTTTTGTCGGTTTTATCCGACAAAGAATGCTCTTATTTATTCATTATTTATATTTTCTCTGTCGGTTATATTCGACACAATTTCTGTCGGTTTTAGAGTATTTTCTATCAGAAAATTCATTTCCTGATGTTGGCAATTTTGTCCCTTATTATATCCGCCACTGCATTCATTTTCTGTCGGATTTTGCTTAATATGCGACAGTAATATATGTTTCTTGTCGGTTATCATAGCAAAACTAACAAATGGTTTCGTAGTAGTGAAAAAAAAAAGTTAAAAGTGTTTATATATATATATATATATATATGTAAGAAAAGTACCCGAAAAATCTTTATAAAAAAATCTATTAAATTATATTTTATGTGTATCTAATACAAGTGCTTATTTATGAGCATATATAAATGGTTTTTTAGAAAATTATTTTCAAACTAGCCCTTTAAAAATACAAAACTCTAAACTATATAAACTCCAAGTTTACTCTTATATATTACGCAACACCACATATATGAATGTGACAATCTGCCAAACTTTTTTCTAAAAGAGGAGTTAGATTGAACACAATAAGTGTTGTATAACTAAACACGTATGTGAGTTAAGAACAGTAGAGCTAGCTAATTAGGGTTGTCAACTTTGAAACTTTTAAATGAAAGGATGACATGTCTGGAGGCAGTTTGGTCTAAAACCATGTGAGATTGAATGATGGTTTTGGTACTTGGAAGTCAGTTTTCTCCAGTAAATTTTGATCTTTTTCTTCCCTTGATTCATAAGACGTACGAGTCTCATCGCATCTCATCGCATCGCAACAAAGAAAGCAACAATAATAGCATATGTATCAATATCACGCTCCTCTCAACTTACAAAAAGCCAACATTTCTATATGGCCGACCAACAAAGATATGAACTCCATTTACCTACCAAATCAAAACCACGTAAATCTAGCAACAACTCTAATGTCTATTCTCCCACCTCATTTCTGGCCGCATTAGAACCATAATTAATTTTAATTTTTTTCTCTTTTAGTGTTACACATATATTAGCCACGAGAAACAAAAATATTTTTGAAATTTTAGGTACATCAACCAAATGTAGTGCATATTGACACATTGTTTTTATCTTTTAGTAGAGCAATGATGTTAGTGGGCTAAATAGTTATTTGTTAAAGGAGAAGGGGGATAGGTAGAGGATGAACTTGTACCAGAGTGCATATGTATGATTGTCTTCTACCACTGGCGTAAAACTCTATATGCGACAATGTTTTAATTGTCACAAATAAATAAATTTAGAATCGGATCAACTATGGACTAATAAAATTGACATGACCTTCCACATAAGCTGGTATAAAAAAATCCGTAAGAGAACTTAGGAAAGTAAAAATGATGAAGGGGTGGTGGGACGAATTAGAGAGAAATGAAGAAGATTATGGGCTCGTTTGAAGTTTTTTATAATGACTGAAAAACGTTTTTGATGAAAGTGTTTTTGGAACCAGTTCTTTAGTAAAAATGCAAGTGAATCTTGAAAAAACACTTTCACCCAAAGCTATTTCAGTCATTTTCAAAAGCACTTCCTCCATCTCTAGTTCAACTATAATGAAAACTAAAACAATTAGAAACGAAATTAATGATTATCAAATGATCCCCTAGTTCTCTTGTCGTTGGATAGAAATCTTTGTTTTAGTATGAGCAGTTTTGAGACTGAAAAGCATATGCAAACTGTACACGTGAATCATTGTGAGAAGGAAAGCAGAAGAGAAACACTTTTCTTTGTCTTTTGCCTTGCTTGCTCAAAAGTCTGTTTCATCAGCAACAACATGGCAGCATCAGATTGATTCATATTTCCAGGTTGAAAGCACTAAATAGTAAAAATGTAAGCAGATAAATTATGTCCCGTTGTATCAAGACGTCCAAAATCTAAATTTCTTTTCAGTGAAAATTATAAGCAAATTTATTGGGTATGGAAAAAAGTTTATACGCGTTTTCAGTCCACAAATAAAGAAAGTAGAAGAAAAAACAACATGTACACATCGTGGACGTGGATGAACTGTTTTGGTGTGTTTTTACGTAATATTAGGGGTCCCAAGGTTGCTCATACCCATCAAGAAATTATTGGAGGGAATGAAGGACCACTTCGATATTTCATCTTCTTCACACTTTTGTCTATGTTCTTGGTAATTTTTATTAACCACTCAACGGTTGTGTTAGTCTAAAATAAGGGAGCAAACCACATTCCTTATGAGTTTGGGAAGAAGTTGAGTTACAACGAACTGTGATTTGTATAGAACTCATCTCGTGAGACACACATTAATAGATGACTATTTTTTTTAGTACATCGATATATTTTTATACTAAGGGGAGGGAGAGTTCGGCCAAGCCATATGATAACAACCTCATTTGGTATCGAATTCGTCATCCACAAGATTCGAATGTAAGACCTTTTGACTTTTACGTAAAAGAAGAATACCACCAGACCATAATATTGAGTGGCCTTAATCAACGACTATTAGATATTAATAATTGCTTCTAATATTTCTCTACACTAATTGTCATTATTAGTAGGGTATGATTGTTCGCCATGTACTCCTTATTAGATTTTGTCTTTAATTAGTACCTCTTTCCAACAATGACAACTCTATTCGACAAAGAAAACAATGAGAACTCTATATACATAGACATCTCTAAATATCATTAGATTGAGAACTAGTTTTTAGCTATAATTTTTTTTGAGAAAATACTTCAATTTCGAATTTTATGATAGTATGAAATGCTTTGTGCCTCAACAATGGCAGCTGGCCCATGACACAGTTAGGCCCAAAAGAGAGAAGATCACCCGGGTGCTCTACATATCTGCCCTGAAAACGGTGTCGTTTGGTTTTAGAGCCTATGCCCTATCCTCTCCTAAAACTATAAAAACGAACGCTCACATTTCGCTAAACCCTAAACCCTAAATCCCCATTTCTGGGGACTCCTCACACTTCTGCACCACACAAACCTCCATGAAAGCGACGTCGCTTTCAGCAACTTTCATGCCCGTCGGACTCTTACCCCAACTCCGACTCCTCAGCACCTCTGTTCCGGCGACCCGTTACCCGCCCATGAAATTCGCGCCTTCCATTTCGTCCTCTCAGGCCGTACCCATTTTGTCGCGGGTCTTCCCCTTGAGGCTTAGGTACGTAGGGTTGGGGCTTCGTCGCTCTCTGCAGACTGAGCGAGCATTTTCAACTCGGGCGTTCCGGGGCTCCAGGACCGGGTCGGGGTCCGAGTTGCCACGTGCCTACGAGAGAAGAGCGGGTGGAGCTTCGAAGAGTCTGATTGAGGACGAGGCTGAGCTCAGTGACTGGGTCAGCGAGTTAAAGAGTGACTCGCGCGGCGAATCGGAGGGCCGTAGGGGGACGGTTGGAGAGAGGGGTACCGATAGGGAGTCGTATCCGATGAAGAGGAGCAGGAGAGATAGTGACTCAGGAGATTTTGGTGATTCTAAAAGGCGAGAATCTCGATCACCGAATCAGTCTTTTTCGAGAAATTCGGGGATGAGTAAGCGATTTGATAATAAATCTGAGGGTGATAGGAAAGAGAGAGCATTTCCACCCAGAAACAGTCGTGGGAATCTGAATTCAAATGGCGATTTTGGAGATTTGAGTAGGCGAAGATTTCCGGCCCAAAATGATTCCTTTTCGAGAAATGCAGGGACAAGCAATCGCTTTGATAACAAATTTCGGAGTGATGATGACAAGGAAGACAGATTTCCCCGTAGAAACAATCGTGGGGACTCAAATTCGTTTTCAAAAGGGAGTTCGAGTTCAAGGGTGAAAGGGGAATCATTTACCAGGAATAGAGGTGGAAGAGATTCGGGTAAAGAATTGCGAGTAATGGATGATACTGAAGAGGAGGAGGTAAAACCATTTGGCGGTATTGGGGATTTTCTTAGTGAGGAAGAGAGTGACACTGCTGCTTCTGATGATGATGGTTTTGGAGTATTAAGAGAAAAAAATGCAGCTTCTTTGCTTTGTGGTTCGGATGATGAAGCGAGCAAAAGGGTTCTGCCTAAAAGTTCAGCTGGAAGCTCTGACTCTTATTTGAGTGAATCGCGGTCTGTTCAACATCAACATTTTCATAATGGATCGTTGACAAGTATCTTGTCTTAACTTATTTTGAATGATTGCAGGTTTGATCAATGTTCGGTCTCTCCGCTGTCCTTGAAAGGAATCAAGGACGCAGGATATGAAAAGATGACTGTAGTGCAAGAAGCTACTCTTCCAGTAATATTGAAAGGTTTGTTTCTTTACAAAATCATGCACCGACTTCAGGATGAGAATGCCCCCCCGGGGGGGGGGGGGCAACTTATTTTGAACAATGCCTCTTCATGAGGATACTGAAAGAAACAGAAGCTTTGTTTAATCAGGATTGCCTATAATATAAATAAGATCAAGTAACTACTGTGTCCTCTTAAAGATGTCTGTTTTTGTTTTTGCCTCTAAGATTTGATTGGTATCTTTGCGTGTCCATGTTATGGAACTGCTTATTCTACTTTGTTGTGTTTTGTAGGCAAGGATGTGCTGGCCAAGGCTAGAACAGGCACTGGAAAAACTGTGGCGTTCTTGGTATGGAATCTCATTTGTTTCTTTGTGCGAATGAATGTTCTTGTGTTAAAAAAAGATGCAACATGTATGATAAATTCCATGCTACTTTAGTTCACTTGAGGCATTGGATCTGTATCATCAGTTTATGCAATTGCAGGGGACTTTTCATCCTACTTGACATTGAGTTTATTTGTTTCAGCTTCCATCAATTGAAGTTGTTGTAAATTCGCCTCCTATTACCCGTGATAACAAGCGACCACCAATTTTTGTACTTGTTATATGCCCAACCAGGGAGTTGGCAAGTCAAGCTGCTACTGAAGCCAATAAGTTGTTGAAATATCATCCCTCTGTTGGTGTCCAAGTTGTGATTGGTGGTACACGACTTGCTTTAGAACAGAAACGTATCCAAGCCAACCCTTGCCAGGTAAGTTTTTTATTGCTGGAGAACTTTGTCATTTACTGCATCGCCCTGTTTCATTAACTTCACTTGCTAAATATAAACTGAGCTAATGATTGATTGTACATTGACATAGGTCTAGAATTTCGTGAGCTTGTCTAATAGGTGAATTACCGAATCAAGTTAGTTTATAGGCTTTTATAAAGTTGACAAGGTTTAATTGAGATGAAGGTTCGCATTAGATTCCATTACTTGATACTGGCTCTTTTATTACTGATACGATACTAACTGAGGACAGAGATGAAAATTTCTATCAACATAGTTTGATCCGTGTTTAATTGGCACTGTTTATATGCAATGTAACACGTATAAAACATACAGATTCTTGTCGCTACACCTGGAAGGCTCAAAGATCACATTGAGAATACCGCAGGTTTTGCAACTAGGCTGATGGGTGTCAAAGTCCTTGTACTTGATGAAGCTGATCATTTACTGGATATGGGATTCCGTAAAGATATTGAAAGGATTATATCAGCTGTTCCCAAACAACGGCAGACACTTTTGTTTTCCGCCACTGTTCCGGAAGAGGTTTCTCTCACTACTATTTTTTGTGGTAATGTGGATTTTCAGTAAATGCGAAGAAAACATACATTTAAATACATTGTAGATGAACACTGGTTTCTTCCTAATTGTAGGTCCGTCAAATCTGTCATATTGCTTTGAAAAGAGATCACGAATATATCAATACAGTTGAAGAAGGCAGTGAAGAGACACATGCACAGGTTGGCTTTTTTCTGACATGTATGTACGTGTATGTGTGTGTGCCCGTATTGATATGATATTTAATTTTGACAATTTGATGATTAATAATATATGTTTGATTTTTGTATGGATGATTTCAGGTCGCACAGACGCATTTGGTCGCTCCATTGGACAGGCATTTTTCCTTAGTATATAGCCTTCTTAAAGAGCATATTGCAGATGATGTTGACTATAAGGTAGGTATTGTATTACCCAAAGCCTTGGCTTGTTCAATTCATCCACCAGACTTTAGGTGTTTCCATTAGTATCGATTTAATACCATAGATATTTTTCTTAGGAAGCATGGTTTGTGTTGCCCACCATTTTGCGATCTTATATAACATATGTGAGCTGTATCACCTTTATTGCTATCTTATGTAACATGTGATTCTCATATTATGCGCAGGTTCTTGTATTCTGCACTACCGCTATGGTAACACGACTGGTTGCAGACCTTCTTGGTGAGCTGAACTTGAATGTCAGAGAGATCCATTCTAGAAAGCCACAGAGTTATAGAACCAGGGTTTCTGATGAATTTCGGAAATCAAAGGGTCTTATTCTTGTGACTTCTGATGTATCTGCACGTGGGGTTGATTATCCAGATGTTTCCCTAGTCATACAGGTAATATGCAAGATTTAAATAGAGGTTCCTTTGCCATTTATTCATCATGCAATATTTAAATTGTGGCTTTCAGTTAACCGAGTTCCATGTCTTTCTAAATCTTTTAGCTAAGTTGCTTTACCTTGTTTAAGCATCATAAACAGTTTTAGTACATTCTTTTGCAACTTCAGCTGTTGTAGATTTGAAACTAAGTCCCCTTATCATTGACCCTCTACCTTTTTTTTGCAAATATAGGTGGGCGTGCCAGCCGATAGACAACAGTATATACATCGACTTGGAAGAACTGGTCGTAAAGGCAAAGTGGGGCAAGGGATATTGCTACTGGCTCCTTGGGAGGAGTTCTTCTTGTCCAATATTAAGGATTTGCCAATATCCAAGGCTGCTGTACCGTCAGTCGATCCAGATACTACGAAGAAGGTGGGTTTTTCTCCCTCTTTTTGTCACTTGTTTCTTCCCTTTTTTCCTTGAAACATATAGTTTTATGCTTTAATGTTGGAATTGTATCTAACAGGTGGAACGAGCACTGTCCAATGTGGAGATGAAGAACAAAGAAGCAGCGTACCAAGCATGGCTCGGGTATTACAATTCAAACAAGAAAGTGGGGCGCGATAAGCATAGGCTTGTGGAGCTTGCTAATGAGTTTAGCCGAAGCATGGGGCTGGACAACCCTCCGGCCATTCCCAAGCTCGTTCTTGGCAAGATGGGGCTTAAGAATGTCCCTGGATTGCGTTCCAAGTAGCTCCGTTAGCAGCCAACCTAGTCAGTTGATTCGGTTGTCCCGATTACTTGTTAACAATTGAAAAACTTAAATTTAATGTTAGAGATTTTGTAGTTGAAGTTGAACAACGTATGCTGCTATGCGATGCGACACAGACAACACAAACTTAAACACAAACTATTGTTGTTTAAAATTTTTTTGGGATACATGTGGAAAGTTGAAGTTTGTATTTCTGAAGCTTTAAGTATTTAGTTTGTTGTACAAGCGAGTTTGCGTGTCAAATGATGAGTGGGGAAGATAAGAAAGGAAAAATAAATGGGGACGAATATAGCTAGCATTCCTCTTTCGGCAGAAAATGATTCTATACCGAAAGGTAATAGAAAACTAAACTTGGGTTAATAAAATTTCATATTTCGACAGAAGTCGATTGTTATTTCATTTTCTAGTATATTTTGTGACTTGAAACAAATTATCCTTTAGTACTTGCTCCGCTCCATCAGCTTTTGTGCTCCAGCTTTACCAAGTCCTTGATCAAAAACAGTCCGACGTCCCAACATTTCCAGCTTCTTACTCGCACTATCGAGATCATTACATTTAAGTGGACAACAAGTGTAAAACTCACTCTGAAATAACATGTCTTAAACTCTAGTGAATCTCATTTTGGAAACTACATTTTGAGGGTTCAAATTCATAAGCTTGAACTGAGACCCTACCGGGTTTAGGGTTCCAGTCTATATATAACCCAAACCCATATCCTACAGTGTCATTTAACTAACGATGAACTACTTTGTTTACATATTTCAGATTGCAGATGCACTTAGCAAGCTTTCGCATTTCTGCAAAGGAAAACAAAATCCGAGATCATGCTTTGATGCCTAAGCATGGAGATGTTTTCCAGGTTCTCGAAATATCAGCTCAAGATTGCCAGCTCGTGTTCCCCGCCCATAGGTGTTTTGAGAACCTGAACAAATTTCTCCAGAAAAATGACGCATCCAGTGTACCAGAAAAATTAAAAGAACGAAAGGATTGTCAGTGAAACCGAAAATGTTTCAATTTCATCTATGGTGGTGTTAATTGCTACACTGTTGAAAATCTTGGACAAAGAGTACATAAAAGAGATGGTACACATATTCTGATCGAAAAAACCCTAATACATTGTGTGCAAGAGATTCCTGGTCGAACAGTGTTCTAACAGTAAAATCCTAAACTCTGAACCTAAACCCAAGTTTTCTAATTCAGTAGAGTTACAAAGTGCCTAACCCTAAAATGGGCAATAAAGTCGCGGAGTCCCGCCTTCCCCCTCACCATCACATCACCATCATTTTACCACCGATCTTGTTCTTGACGAAAATGGAGTAAGTAAATTACTTTCAAGTATACATAAGAACTCCAAGCAGGCATGATGTGATCAGGACGATACCAAGACATCATGGAATGAAACAGTCTAATTCCTTCAGCTCTTGAGTATGGGGCATGAGCAGGAACCTCGGTGCTGGGATGGACAGTCATTGTAGTTTCTTCCACCATCATCCCCTCGCTGTTTGGGTAATGCTAAAGGCGGAAACTCCTCATGTATCATCTGATAGTTCCCCTGGGCCACTGATCTGGCAAAATGATCAAACTCCCCTGTTAAGATCATGGAAAGCATCACAATACAATCCCAGTGATGTGAAAGGTCGTGAACAACAAAATGAAAAGGAAACCACTCCAAATAAAATCTTCAGAAAAGTTGGCCACAAGACACTGGCATGGTACCCTGAACGATCTCCTCCCTCCCAAAACAGCAAAAGGTATACTTGAACCAACTACCTTTAGAGGTGGGGTGAAGAAGGCTGATCAGGTGAAGATCGTCGAGTAGAGCCACCATGAAACCCTTGTTCATCAAATACCCCATTCATCCGGCTCCCTTCATTTAGCTGTGCTTCATTCAAACCCGAGAATCCCACTGGTCCAAGAGAACCAAACTCAAGTTGATCTGCAGGTGGCCCGTAGCCAGCATTATGATCATAAGGATACAGCATGACAACAGGTGGCATGGAAGGGCCATTTGATGATACCCCACCAGGGTTCATGGCTGGTGCCGGATACATGCCATATGCAACATTGGTCGAACCACTCTGTGCAGTGTTTGCACGGATAGGACCATTTTGAGATTGATATGACCGGAATGAGTCCTGCCTATGTGAACTCCATGACCTTTCAGCTCTGCTCTCACTAGCTGCCAAACGGTCTACTCTTGAATTTTGCTTCTCAGCTTGACCACGACTGTGGTTGCGCCCAGAAGCTCGTGACTTTGAATTGGCATTCCAGTTCCCTTCTCTATCACCGTGGTGGTCATTTCTATCATAATTGTAATTCCCCCTTCTCGTATTTGAAGGCCGGTCCCGTACAGAAACCTTCTGAAGTAATTAAAGGAGGTAAGAGAAATAATCCGGCAGCAGGTTCTAAGTTATAATAAATCTAGGAAAATTGATTCTATATCATGTTTAACCAAAGACTTAACTTTCCAGAAACCATAAACTGGTCCAAAAAACAAGATTGGTAGGTGCAACATGCTTAATTAAAAAGAAATTTAAAATAATAATTAAGAAAAGAACAGGTTTATGTTATCTTACAGGATTTGGCAGGTAGGTCCCAGTCCCAGTACGATATCTTGGAATCTCATCTGCATAACGTTGATAACCACCAGCAGGCCTGTTAGGAACAGACTGGAGAGGAGCAAGAGGGACCAGTCGAGGTCCATAACTCATAAGCTGAGTGAAGAGATTGACGTTGGCTGAAAGAGGTCTCCCGGGACCATCCCATGGAAATCTTCCTTGTAAGTAAGCAGGGGGCACCATAACTGGTGAAGGATAAATGACAGGTGAAGTTTGGCAAAACCGTCCATATTGCAGATTCCGCCAATGGCTAGAGAAGTCACTGTGAAGAATGTCAGATTTATGCTCTGACGGCTCAACAGGAGCTACCCTTCCCATAGAGCTAGAAGTACTTAACACCTCAGGTTGATCAGCTCCCTCAGATGAATCAAAATTCTGACCAGAATCACTATTATCTGCTCCCTCTTCTCTGCAAAATTGGCTTGTTGATACATCTGAAGTTCCTGTTTCTGACGAGAAATAATTATAAGGAAGCATTGTAACAAATGGAACTGGAGGCCCCGTAGGATAAAATGTAAGCATTCCAGAATCATTTGTAGCTCTCTGTCGTGAGCCGTGACCTAAGAACACTGGAGCAAAAGGAGTCATCGAATCTGATCCACTTGTCTGAGTTTGTTCAAAACCGGTCATTTGATGCCTTGGAAAATGCAAGGGAGCAACAGGTTGAGGTCCTGTGCTTCGTTCTACCATTTCGGCTCCTAAAGCTGTAGGTGAATTCCAATCTCTGTTGTCATCATCTGCCTGGGTAGATGAATGTTCGGACACACTCTTACCTTTCCCATATGCAGCAGATGGCACTGCTGAAAGAGCATTTCGCCTACCACGTTTTTCCCTTGTTGACTTTGAGACCTTTGCTGATGATCCTTCCCAAGAACTCTCAGAGGAGGTCTTACTTCTCACTGAACTTGCATACGTGGCAGACCTAGAACTCACGGTTCGATTATCAAAGTAAACCTCATTACCTCTGTTATCTTGGTATTGAAAATTATCCACATGCTCTTCCCCCCTCATCGACTCTTGGTTTTCTTTGGTAGACTTCGGTTGAGCTTGCATAGAATTTCCTGAGGTTCCTACGCGAGATGATGGATGAAAGTTATAACCAACAGAGGTTGACTGTTGCTTGTCATCTTCCTGAAGCATTTCATAACTTCCATTATCCAGATCAAACCCACCAGTAGATCCCCTCTCTTGCTGATGCCAGAAATCAAGCTCCGTTTCGCCTGAGTTCATTTCCACAGATCCAAAATTTTCATTACCAGGTTCCACTGAATCTTCAGGATTTGAGGTCAACCCCATCCCAGGGAAATAAGGGGCTAGCGACGGTGGCATAACACCTTGCGGAAATTGCATATTTGTTCCCCAAGGAGTCTCCATCAAGGGGAAATTTGTAGGAACCATTCCACCCATATTTCTCTGGGCATATCCCATAGAAGCAAGAATGGAATGTGGGATTGGAAGTGGTAGGTGACCGGAACCCAAATTGAGTGGAAGATGAACCTGCCCATTAAAACCATGAGCTGCAGAAGATGCCATCATGTTAACAAGATCTTGCTCCTCCTGGTGCATCCCTTGTGCCGCCGAAATAGAAGCATAATCGTCAGCAACGGCACTCATGCCTGATTCATCATGGTAGTTATTTGAAACAACAGTAGCATCAGGGCTTTGGCGGGATGAGATGGATCTAGCAGATGAAGGATCATCAGTTGAAGATCTATTTCTGTGGCTTGCCACACTATCAGAATCTGGGTTTTTCCTCGTGCTATTATCCAACCTTGTCGCAGTTTGGCCTTTCCCACTCTCTGGGGCTCTGTTGCGCCTACTTTGAGTGGAAATTTCACCATATGTATCAGTAAGCTCGGGACTAGAGCGTGTCCTTGCAAAAAGAAACCTCCCTTGTAAGTCATTCACCAAGTTATCAGGTTTAGCACTTCTCTGACCTTTATCAATGTGTGCACCCAGGTCGGAATTCGTTTCCTTTCTAGTCATATCAGAGGCCCTAGGGAGGTTTGTGTTCCCATGAATCCTTTGAGTTTGAGAATGAGTTACTGTAGACACACTACTGATACCAGAGGTGCTTTCTAAAGAATAACTAGCATGCTGGGAGGGAACATTAATGGAGCCATGCATCCCCCCACTTTGAGTATCTCGACCAGAGGAACTTTCCTTTTTTTGGTTGCTTGAAATATTCCTGAGATTCTCAGATCCATGTAAATGGTCTGGATTTGAAAGTCTCAAGCGCCTCAAATCATTTCGTGGCGCATCAGGTCGATGACCACTCCCATGTCTATCCCAAGTGTTTAGAAAAAACTGATTTACTTCGAAAAATAGATCCTCTTTGGCACAATCAAGCAACCTGGCCAGCCTTTTAGCCCCAAACAAAAATGCACTGCGTATCCTAAAAAAATTACCTGGAAAACATACATAGGCAATTAGGCATACATGATTGCAATAACTAACAATTTGCACGGACAGACAATCAAGAAACAAAGTTACACCTTACAAGCAGCATAAAAATATTACGGAAGGACAAATGAAGTTTACATGTATAGTTGTATACAAAAAACAAAAAAAG